GGATGGATATGGACTATTTGGTCAGTAATGGTAGGTTCAGTTTATATTGACATATGAATCTCGAGACATACAAAAATCTGTGTGTGTACAACTAAATCTAGAGTTCTACTGGACCGATTTTATTAATTAATGGGTCGTTGGAGAGCTTAAGTCGTGTAGATTTGCAAATAATTGTGAAAGTTTGTTTTTGTTATTGTTTATGGTGAAAAATAAAAAAAAACATGTTTTCCATAAGAAATACATTGAAAACGGTGTGTTTCACACTTTTTATTTGGGGGCGACTTTTGGCTGCCTTTTTTGAGTATTTCCAAGAAGTGCATGGTATCAGTTTGTAGGAAATTTTATTCTCTTTCAGAATATCACCTTCCACTTTGGTCGATTTCCTCAACATTTAAAAGTTATTTGCAAAAAAGCTAAGCAACCTCCAAATTTATAGAAATGAGAAACTATTGAGTTTGGGATATTTTTTGTTAAGTTTTGTACAACTAAATCTAGACTTCTACTGGACCGATTTTGTTAATTAATGGGTGATTGGAAAGCCTAAGTCATGTAGATTTGCAAATAATTATAAAATTGTGATTTTATTAAATATTTGTGGTGAAAAAGTAAAAATAACAAAAATACATTAAAAACTGTTTTTTCAAGTTTCTGTTTTTAATATTACTAGTGGAACCCCGTCGAAATCGACGGTTAATCTTGAGGTTTTATGTAAATTCAGCTAACTGCGATAGATAGAGTGAAGTCATTAAAATCTTAGTTAAATGAAGGGAGGTATTAGGGAGGATAAGCATAATAATAAGTATGACGATTGTGTTCCCTAAAAACGTGATTGTTGAATTCGTTTAACACAATATTTCCTACCTTTTTATCGGCTTTAAATCTAGCTTTAAATCGGCTTTAATTTTTTTTTATGTCAAAGCCACTTTCACTATATGGGAGAATGAGTTCATATAATTAGTCTATCATGTTACGGAAAGAGTCAATATTTATTACTAACAACTAGTTCCATCTGCTTTGGAAAAATCATTCAGATTGTATCCAGATTTATAAGTAAATCTTCATCTTTGGTCATAAAAATACAGAATTTTATCAGCATTTAAATAAGTTTTTTTTGTATTTGATAAAAATATCTGATTCTCCAGATAGCAGTAACATTCTTACTTCGATCTAAGCAATTTTAATTCCTTCTCTTGCCACATCGACCCAAGACAGGATTATCATCCTGTTCTTACTTGATAATTCATTAAATTAGAGTAGTTTTGCCTGGCCATATCTACCACATAAAACTGTGCATGTTTTTCGTGGATGGAATGAACCATAATTGTAAGAAATTTGATCACAAATCTTGAACATTTGCGGAACCAAATCCATAACCTAGTCCAGCCTTGGTAACAAATTATGCAAATGCGATGAGATGTGATGACACTGTTGTGTTTCCGAATGTTTTGTGAGTGAGGTTTAGATGCGTTGTTCGACCTAGCTACATGTGTACATCAAAGTAAAAACCCTGTAGGCCTACACATTTTTTTTAAATACCTGAATTGACATTAGTTCACCTACTTCACCAAAACCATAGATGAAACATACTCCGTAGTTAGTCTATTCCAAAACTTGAACACAGCTCTCATCCTCAACGTAAGTTACTCGTCTATGACACAATTTTCAACCCGATTATCAAAAACTTTCATACCAATAAATGAGTTTCTGGTGTTCTTTCTTGAATTCAAAAATAAATGGTGATTGAAAGTAGGAAAAAAAGGCAAGTGCCAACCTTACAACATATATAAGCTAACCCGATAAGGAATAATTATATGTTCCTTTGAAAATGATATGTCACACTTATTTCATAATTTAAAATTTTCTAAGAGCAATAAAGCATAGATTTTTGAACAAAACATTTAAAACGTATCATAAATTCATCATTTTGTTGAAACTATAAAAAAATTGCCATGCAGTGGAGAATCAATTTAAAATCATAAATAATAATGTAAACATTTAATTTTGACAGTTTCAGTAGACCTTTGAATACAATTTTAATATTAACAGCTGGTTCATTAAAAGTAGTGTAAAATTATCCATATGGTCATAATATAAACAAAATTGCTGAGTGAACTTTAAAGGCCTCTGGGGCAGAGCCCCACGGAAATTTACCTCGTTTCTCTTTTGAGAGCTCAACTACAGACCAATACCTTTCTTTAGACACCCCTACCAAGTTTCTACACCCAGCCATTCTCTCAAATTAGCTGTGACAAAAACCCTGTTTTCCTCCATAAGAATAACATGGGATGGGACTTTAAAGGCCACTGGGGCAGAGCCCCGAGGGAATTTACCACGTTTCTCTTTTGATGGTTCATCTACAGACCAAGACCTTTCTTTAGACACCCCTACCGAGTTTCTACGCCCAGCTGTTCTCTCAAAATAGCTGTGACAAAGAAAAACAGTTTCAAATTAATATATAGACTAGTGTACCTGTTGCTCGAATTCGAGCAATCGCGAAGCATTACAGGCGACTCAAAGATTATGGAAATACTCACGATCTACACAACAGTTAGATATAATCAAAATCTTTTGTAAATATCTTATCTTTTTTCGAAAAGGTGATCTTGTTTTTTGAGCGTTTTTAGTGTGAAAAAACATTATTTCCATTTCTTCTACTTGGTTCTATGACTTTTTCTATGTTTCCATTGTTTGCAAATCGGTTATTTCAATGATTGCTCAAGAAATGTAGCACAGTGATAATTGAGTTTAATTATATCAAATTGCCTATATCAAATTGTCCAGGATTTCTCGCTCTTTTCCATTGTAATAATTACACCAACCCAAGTTTCGTCTACAGATGCAATATGCCAAAGAATATCACTACGTACAATCTCCAAGAAGTGGTAAAAAGGCAGAAACCAACCCATACAATAGATATAAGTTAACTCCATAAGAAATAATTTTAAAATCTAGAACATTATATTGAAAAACATGACACGATGCAGAAGAAAATCAATTTTAAAATCAGAAAAATCCATATTGCAAATACTGTACTTCATTTTGACAAATTCAATGTACAATATTACAATATTAATATTCAAATCACAATTTAAATATTAACAGCTGTTGCATTAAAAGGTAGTGTAGAATTATGCATATGGTCGTAATGTAAACAAATCTGTAGAGGCAACTTTAAAGGCTTCTGGGGCAGAGCCCCAAGGGAATTTACCTCTTTCCTCTTTTGATGGCTCATCTACAGATCAAGACCTTTCTTTAGAGACCCCTGCCAAGTTTCTACGCCCAGTTGTTCTCTCAAATTAGCTGTGACAAAAACCCCGTTTCCCTCCATAAGAATAACATGGGATGGGAATTTAAAGGCCACGGGGGCAGAGCCCCAAGGGAATTCACCATGTTTCTCTTTTGATGGCTCATCTACAGACCAAGACCTTTCTTTAGACACCTCTACCGAGTTTCTACGCCCAGCCGTTCTCTCAAAATAGCTGTGACAAAGAAAAACAGTTTCAAATTAATATATAGATATTTGTAGCCAGCTTTTGGCTGCCTTTACTAAGTATTTTCAAGTAATGCATAGTAGTTATTTGTAGTAAATTTTATTCTCTTTCACAATATCACATCCACTTTGGTCGATTTTCCCTACATTTAAAAGTTATTGGCAATAAGCTAAGTGATCTCCAAATTTATAGTGGTGAGAAAATACTGAATTAGATATACCGTATTTTTGTTAAACTTTGTACAACTAAATCTAGACTTATACCGGACCGATTTTGTTACTTAATGGGTCGTTGAAAAGCCTAATTTGTGTAGATTTGCAAATAATTATGAAAGTTTGATTTTATTAGATATTTGAGGTGAAAAAATTAAAATAAACAATAATACATTTAAAACTCATTTTTTTCCAAGTTTATATTTCTAGCCAACTTTAGGCTGCCTTTATTGAGTATTTTCAAGAAATACATTATAGTAATTTGTAGGAAATTTTATTTTCTTTCAGAACATTACGACTTTGGTCGATTTCCTCACCGTTTCAAAGTTATTTGCAAAAACGTTAAGCAACCTCCCAATTTATAGATGCACCATTGACTTTAAATACACCAAATAGCAATTTCATTATGTGAACCAAATATAGGCCTACCATTGAGTTTGGATACTGCAAGTGGACTTTCCATTTACGTGAGCTAGACGCTAGACGTACCATTAATGCAGACTTTGAATAGGTATTGCAAATAGGAGTTCAATTTATGTGGACCAAAAGATACTTACAAGTAAAAATATTCAATTGACACTAACCAGACGTATTATTGAGTTTGGATACTGTAAATAGGCACTCCATTTACGTGAACCAAATGTACCATTAAGTTTGGATACTGCAAGTAAACAACTCGTTTATGTGTACCAGGCGTACCATTGACTTCCATTGAAAGTTTACCATCGGTATTTTTTAGGGATGGTCAAGTCTCGAAATTTCGGGAAATTTTCGGGAAATTTTCAATCTCGTTACACGAGACGAGATTACTTTTTAGCCGAGATTTTTATCAAGACGAAAAAAAAAAAAAAAAAAAAAATTTTAAACGCCTGCAGAAAGTCAATGCAATACCCGCAATACAGGAGCGTGTTGTAGTTGCGTTTCCTTTTCGAAGGCGTTCTTATTTAATTAATTCTTTTAATGTAAATATTACTTTAATTCTTTTAATGTAAATATTACTTTCATTATTTTAATAATATTACTTTAATAACATTTGAGAAATTTTGTTAAGTGTAAGCAGTGTGAGGAATGTTTTATTACTATAAAAAAAGTCAAAACAAGTAACTATTTTATAAAAATTAATATTGCTTTTATTTTATGATTTATTTTATTTTAGGATAAGTTGAACTCTATCCTAACTGATATCACCATGTTTCCTAATCGTAGGCATTTTTAATAAGTTAGGCGTGATTAATAAAAAAATGTTATGCTGATGTTATTTAATGAAAGATTGTAAATATTCTTGCCTATTATCATTATTTTAGTATTTAAACAGTCATCTAACAATGTTACAAAATCAGGTAAAAATTTCGAACGTGCATTTCCCGTTGTGTATGAGAAGAGAAATCTCGTCTCGATCTCGTCTCGAAATTTTATGAGAAATAAAAAATCTCGTCTCGTCTCGTCTCGAACTAAAAATCCAATCTCGTCCATCCCTAGTATTTTTGAAACAGGTATGGTAACAAAACTCTTCTTGTGAATTATGACAGAGGGTCAAAAGTTGCTGATGTACAAGCAGCTGATGAATCTTCTTTGAAAGGATAATCAGGATGTGTCTTTGCTCTAAAACAAAAATGTTCAAACATTTAATTAAAAAATTAAAGTAGGTATATGAACAATTACTGTTATTAGTTATGGATACCATTCTAGTTCATTAAAATGTCCTTTGCAATGTTTATAACTATCATGTTTGTAAATATAAACCTATTACAAGTTGATTTATTTTAATAGAATACAGTAACTGTACATAAAGTGTCTCTGATAAATAAGTATTGTGCATATTGTGTGTTAAATATTGTACAAAGAATTATATTATAAAAATACCATATTAGTCAATGGTCTAATATTTATACTTTTGACAATGATGTTAACATAAGAGACGCAAATTTACTTACGGGAGGTAAGGAAACATTCTGAGGTGGCAATCCAGTGAGGAAAGAGTCTCCATTTCTCGACTGCTCAGCTCAAAGTTGAATAGGTCCAGGTTTGCTTTGATGCGAGCTGGTGTCACAGATTTGGGCAACACAACTATACCTAGTTGTACCTGCATACAAATATTGATATTACAGTATCATCATAGTCATATTACTAACAACTAAAAAAACACATAATTATACAAGATGCCATTAACTTTGGTTATAACTAGACATTCTATTCTCATGTTGAAATTTAGCCAGGTTTAGAGTAAAATGAAGATAGCAGAATATTGAGCCATGCAAAAGTGTTTCTGACTAACATTACTGATTACTGAACATTTCTCTCAAATACACAAACTTGTTAACCAATCTGGAAGAACAAACTATTGTAAACTAAAGTATATTTTATGCTAAATCAACTATATCAGAGAAAATATCATTATATACAGCAGAACACTAAATGAGTGGTTCATTGAAGTACAGTAGGTATGATTTTTATAGAAAATTGGACAGTTGTCAATGTCAATAATTATACAAAAAAGACAGTAAACTGACCAGGTATCTGAGTATAACTTGGCCACTGGTTTTGCTATGCGTTGCTGCTACTTTCAGCACTTTAGGGTCGTGGAAGACATTGGCTGCATCAGACGGGGCATTGGGACGAGTGGGGGAACCAAAGGGGGCGTAACCTTCTACAACAATGTCTACACTCTTGCAGAACTCTATTAGTGGCTTCTGGTTCAGCAACATGTGGCACTCAACCTGCATCAGTGTCACAAGCAATGGATAAAGCTGTAAACAAGCTGTTACCAAGTAAGGGAGGTTGGATTAGATTTATGATATGATTTATACAACGTCTTCTGAATTCTTACATTCTTCTGAATGCCGAAACATAAAGGTCCATATTTTATTTATAGCAAAGATGATGAGTGTTGGATGAACAAGATGACAACTTTGGTACTGACTTATAGACTTAAAGCTTCAGTATCCAATAGTCAATGCTTAAAGTGATACGGACTTAAAGACTTATAGTGATACTGGTTATACCCACTATTTCTCTACTTCTCTAGCCAGGTCATTGGGTCAATTTATCAAAAGCTCAAGTCCATTAAAAATCTTAAAGACTTTTCTCAGGATCCCACTGGCAAATTCCTGTTTGCTGGGTAAACAGTTCTACTCAGCTTTCTCTTGGTAATCCTAGAGGTATTGATTGTAAACAATGTGACAGAACAGGAAATCATCTGACTTCAGTTAAGCAATAAAAGAATTGCCTATATTTTACTCATTGTTGTGGCTTGCCCCTGGACTGGTAAGACAAATATAATGGTTTATATACTTTATTGTCGTCCCATTTCAAAAATAGTTGAAATTACAACCAATGTTTTGACGCTGGTTTAGTCATGATCACATAGATAATATTGTCAGAAAATCATATGAAAGTTGGTCACTTGGACATTGTCAGGGGGTTTCTATTTACCCAAACACAAAATCACTGGGGCACACATTGTCAATGAAAAAAGACAAATAGGTAATGTTTTCACATACAGAAACCAAAAATTGTGACAAAAAAACCAGCCTGTGACAACGTGTATGTATTTAATTGTACTGTTGCGGGAGATGGCCAAAGAAAACTCCTCTACGCCAAAACCTTGGTTGTAGTTACAACTATTTTTGAACTGGGACAGAACTAAAGGTCAATTAACCACCAAGAAACCTGAGCAAAAATGTAAAATGAATTATATTTACTGATTCTATGTACTGATACTGTTGCAAAACCTAATAACCTAGAAATGCTTAATCTTTAACTTTCAGTAAAACAACCCATCGCTTTTTCTTTATTTTTTTCAACTTTTTTTTTATTATGTCTATTATTTTATTGCAATCTATTCCCAATCACTGAATAAAGTGTTAATGATTAACTAAGGAAATAAACTGTTTATGTTGTCATAGTTGGTACCTGGTTCACCACTGGCTTGATAGTGGCTGTGTCTAGGACCCTTTGCACTTGAGTTTGGTTGAAGTTGGACATCCCGATGCTTTTGACTAACCCTAACTCCACACATCGCTCCATCTCCCGCCATGTATCCTCTATAGAGGTTGTGTCAAACGCCTCAAATGGCTGAGGAATCTGAGGAGGGTGTTTTGACTGGAAGTCAGATTGACTGGATTAGTTACACAAATATCAATAAATTATTATAATCCTTTTTAAATCTTTGACCTGCTACATGAGCATAGTTATTAAAAAAAAATAGAAAATTAATTCAACCATTGAAATTTGATTTTTAAGCCATTACATTATTTTTTTTTAAGTAGATGGATTTATAAGAACAACAGTTTTGCATAGTGTCTTAGTAAAACTAATAAAGCAATTCAGTACCTAAACCCATAAAACATAATAAAAATAAACGGTATTAGCAATCTGACACAAACTTTTCCCATTCGCTCAACAACCTTTATCATGGCTAAGCGGTGGGAGTAACTATGATATTGTATAGGGAATAAAAGCTGCAATAGCTTTTGACCCATAATTTCTATAGCAATGGGTGTTGCGCTATTTTTTTAAAAACTATTAGTAATAACAATAACAGACCAATTTTTTTTAGAATAGTAATAATAATAAGTTTAGGGAAACAACTGTTTTGAATGTAATCAATGTCCCTGTGCCTGTGAATATTTACTGAGTTTTTTGTTAAGGCATAAACCTCTCATAACGATTGAGCTTTACTAACCTTGAGCCCAAAAGGCCAGTGGACGAGGTACAAGTCAATGTAGTCCAGACCTAGCCTCTCCAGTGACTGTCTACATGTAGGCACCACGTCTTCCACAGAGTGATAAGTGTTCCACAACTACAATGTAACAAATAAAACAACACTGAGTAATGGCACTCGCCAGGTATTATTTAGATTGAGGACTAGGATACTTACTTATCATATGTTATGGTACTAAAAAAATTACTGAAATTTGTAAACGTACTGGCAACAATGGGTACCATGCAGACTACATTATCATTGACGAAGATCAATATGGACAACCTAATGCGGCTATAAGTGGGAAACATTTGTAGAATACACTAAAAAACCAGATCAGCTTTTGAAAAATGATAAAATATTTACAAGAAATGTTGATAATGTGGAACTGTTAGGTACGTGATCTATGAGTTGAGTCTTATAAACCATCGGAAATTATGTCTTTTATTCGTTTTTAAATAAGTTATTTGTTTTTAAATAACTACTTAAATTCTTTGCAATTGCTCGATTTCGAGCAACATGTACACTAGTTATCAATTATCAATCATTGAGATGGGGACGCCACCTTAGGTGCATATTTTAACCCAAATTTGAGTGAAGGATGAGTGTAGAATGGTGTGTGATGACCTGTGTAGCTTTGTAACTGAATTATCAGCGGTTTCATTAGTCAAGATCATTTATTTAAAGCCCAATGATCAGGAACAGCTGGGTCCAGTTTCAAACCATCAAAAAGCTACTGACTTTTCTCAGGATCGAACCGGCGACCTTTTGATTACTAGGCGAGCACTATAACCACTCAGCTACCCAGCCAGTTCATTGACATTAAGTTTACTCTTGTCAGTATATTACATACTGACAAGAGAAGAGGGATGTCGGATGGTCAGATAGGAGAACATATGGATATACCCAGACCCAGGAATGACCAGAAAGGAAGAGAATATGTTTGTATAATATGCAAATAAAAGGAACTAGTAGTTTTATTGAACTAGAGTTTGTGGTGCTTAATGGATCAATTTTAGATATTTAGGCTTATAGAGAGAGCCCAGTGTTGGGTAATTAACCCCACCCTTCAATGAAAAAAGGGTGGGCGTAAAAGTGGGTTACTATAAGAGATCAAAGTCATTTAGGCGCTAGCAGCCAGACCCACCAGATGGATGTGTTGAGTCCCCAATAACCCCAGGTGCTGGATGGGCTTGTTGATCCTCAGGTACCATTTCATTTTTTTAATGCATGGGAGTGTTGAGCACACACTGATTGAGTCCATAACACTTCTTTACCTTTCCCTTTGGTACTGAACAGGCATGCTGAGCCCTCAGTACAACTCCCTTTTCCTCTGGTGTTTGACGGGTGAGTTAAGCCCAGCTGTCCTTTCAATTGACAATCTTCCTTTCAATGTATAGAGGATAATGTAATAAGGGTTTTAGGCATGGTAGCTGAAGCCAGACAAATGACCGATAGGTGTTCCAGCAGGTTGTTATTTAAACGCGGACTGTGCTACTAGAACTACTTTGGGAGACATGGCATCTCTTGGGACATTTGAGGAAGCACCAGGCACATCAGAGTTGCTAATGAGGTCTGTCCTGTGTTTTAAGGCAAAATCATTTACCTTGGAAGCCGAGATTCATGTGTAAATAGAAAATAGGGGTCAATATATTAGAAGGAAGGTCTTTTTATTTAATTCATTGAGTCCTCACTTAGACCAGGACTAAACCTCTATGAGAAAGTACATTAGGAGTGTGAAAGAACTTTTCTTCCTCAATGGGGAAAAATCCTTACAAATTCTCCTTTAATACATAACACAGTACTGGTAATTAGGTATAGGTTCTAGTTGTTTTTCTTTCATTTATATAGTAGACTACATATTTCAGTAAGGCTATATTGTTCAAGTGTACATGTACAGTGACTCGCCTTGGTGGTGATAAACATGTCGCTCCTGGACACAACACCCTCCTCCACCTTGTCTCTCACGGCTGCTCCAATGCTCTTCTCATTGCCGTACAAGTGTGCAGTGTCAATGTGGCGGTAACCCACATCTATGGCGTACTTCACTGCAGCTGAAACTTCGGCGTCAGGTGCCTTAACAAACCGGGTCATCAAGATTAACAGAATTACTGTAATGTTTTTTCTGTTGTTTGTTAGCAGGACAAAACAGCTTTTATCAAATTAATTATTGGTTATTGTGGATCTGTGTTATTTCTGAAGGTATAGTTAGTTATTACTGGTCTGAAGAAAAAGTAAAAAGGTTTGACGTTTTAGAATCAGAAGTCTCTCTTTCTGAATATGGTATAGTTAATTATTGTACTTTGTGATTATTTTTTGCTTTTCCTTTTTTTTTTAATTTTCTTTTATATGAGGAATGTCTGCGAACTAAGGTCTCCATCGATGTACTGTCACAACCAAGCAATCTAGTTCAAATTTGAAACCAACGTTGTGTTCCTTACTTCATTCGCTGCCATTCTAGGTGGTTTTTAACCCCCCTCCCCCCAAGGGATTCAATTCTATTAGTCTTGAAACAGTCTTAAAAAACGTTGCAAAATTAAATTGACACAACTACAAAGAATAAAATGTGTTTCATGATTTTATTTCTGTGTTCTATCATAAACTGCTATTGAAAAAATACACTTTATTACCCTCCCTGTAGCATTAAACCTAGGTAACATTTGGACCGACGTGTTGCATGCTATCAGTAAACAATTCTTCTACATAGGGAAGTACCTAAGGATAAAATATTAAGAATAGGGTCAGTTTCTGACATGGATAACATTATTTCTTTGAATCCAGTCCATGTTCGTCTGAATAAAAAGATGATGTTCTGTCTGCAATATCCGATGGAGCTTAATCTGAGCATTGAAACACCGCTGCGATTTCATAAATGAAAGCTATGAGAGGCTTGGTTGGAAGCTTACCTACGTTCTTGGTTGGTACTTTTTTGTTACTAAACAACTAATAGGATAACCATTGTAAAACTCATTTAAGAAATTTAGAGGTCCAAAAACTCTAAAAGAAAATAATATTCCACGCCGTAAGAAAAGTGAACAATCTCTTTTCATGGGGAAACAGAAAATTATTGTAAAATGCGTCCTGTGGACAGGACTATCCTCTATTCCAACCAGAGGAATTATTTTAACTAATCCCATAGTTATCAATAACCTTTTTGTTGTATGTTCTTGTATGACAAATGTTTCTGGTACTCACATATGCCAATTTGATAATGTGAACTGACTAAAAATTTAAATTGCCAATGAGGGCAAGTCGTACTTGAGAAAATGAAGAGAGTACAGCTTTTAAAAAGCCAAGAATTTATCCTGCCAGCTATTGACTACGTTTTTTTTTTAAATGTGTTTGAGCAAACTAAATGCCAGGCAACTTCCCCAAGCCTATGGTGTCAATTTCTCAGCTCATGGATAGTTATTCTGTAGGAATAGATAGTTAAGGTACCTGCCATGTGCCCAGTCCCACCAATGGGATGTTCAGGCCATTGTTGAGAGGTAGAGCTGGCACCACCATACTGTAGTGAGTACACTACTGTTATTGCTTGATAGCCACACTTCACCTAGTCCAAGGTCAACTTTCTATATTTAACTCTCTACTATCACTTTTGTCTGAATAGCTCACCTTCCACAAGGCATTCTGTATTTACAAACGGTAAATTAAAATCCAATATTGCATTATTGATTTTTTTCTATTAGTGATGTCTATGTGTTTGTGTTTGTGTGTATGTCTGTATACAGATTTTACAGACCTGTGATGTGTGGACCTGTGGTCCACATTTTTGTGGATATTTATAGGCATGATCTGTGGATGTGATACTCCCTAGTGTGGATTAAACGTCCGCACTAGTGAGTACTACGACTATCCGCAGTACTATCCTGATAATTAGACAAATTTGTAAATTACAATGTAAAAATGTGGTTCGGATTCCACAATAAACTGTAGAGTCTTAGTTGCCATTGGCTGTATAGGCTGTTAATAGGGCTATTAATTAATAGCCCTGTCTAAGGAACATGTAGGCCTTGGTCAGTAACAAGACTACAAGATCGTGCCACTCATCCTACACTCATCTCCATTCATACTTTGCTTAAAATACCTACCTTGTATGATCACTATTTCAATTAAAAGTATTAAAAGTATTTTGTTTAATTGGGTATATGGGTACTAATTCATGGTAGTGTATATCCAAGCACTACTTTCATTTTTTTTTTTTATTTTGATTTTTAATGGTGATTTTTCCATAAAACCCGACAAAACTTGATTTTCATAAAAATGTTCCGAACACTTTTGATTAAAATTTAGTATGTTGTAGCTCTTTTAACTTTAAACAAAATGGTATAATCCTCATTACTGTGAAAATTCAATGGTTTAAACGTTATTGCAACTTGTGTGATTTTCTTGACTGAAAAATCTTAAGGAATGTGGAAAAACAATGTAGAGGAAGGTGGTTTTAGAGGTTTAAAAGATTATTTTAACACATATTGAACCTTACTTGATAGGAATCATTCCAGAGGCACATGTTTGGGTGAGATGTGGGGTATTTTGAAAGGATGTGTACCTTAGTTTGGAAAATTACAATACAGTTACCTTTAACAAATTGTTTAATAGAACTCAAGATCTCCAATGGTATATGTTTTAATATCTATTTACAGTTACCTTGACTAAGGAACACAGTTTCTCTTTTAAAATATGACACTAATTTATTTACACACAGTGCGAAGTTAGTATACTTAAGATCTAGATGTAAATGTTAATAACTGAGCCTACAATGCTCATGAAAGTGTAACTTTTATTTCATAACCACTTACACCTCAATAACATTATATTTATAAAAAATTAAAATTGGATTGGAGTTTTAGCCATTCACCATCTAGTAACATTTTCACAATAATATGTTGCTTGTGTTATTTTACTTACAGTAATCACCTTGTATATAAAAAAATATTTTTCTGTAAAAAAATAAGTTCAGATAGAAAGTTGAGATTGACTTTAGCCCCACCAAAAGGGATGACTAAGCTAAGTAAGTACCGGTATCTGAGAAAGTTAAGTTTGGTACCAACATAAATGCTAGATCTGTTAGACTAGAGAACAAATAAATTGTGATAATGCTTTAAAATGCTTAGTTACTTTGTGTATATAGGACAATTTTATCATTATCACTTGAGGAGAACTGAAAATTTAAAATAGATCACACAACTTTATCAGGTTTGAAAACTTAATAAATTAATAGGCTTGTGAGTATGTTTGAAATGCTAATGTTTAAAATTCAAAACAATTTCTATTTTTTTCCTTGCAATGCCAGCCATAATATGTTTTACCTTTTCACAGTACATCAAACACATGTTACACAAATCAGAAAGAATTATGAAATCATTTATTTATATGCAATGAACGATAAGTGTTTTGTAACTGTTGATAATTGTTGTATTGTTAGCGAATTTCCCATATAGGGAATAAGCTATTACCGTAGTACTCATGGTAAGACCTGGACCCGGGACCGATTTTTTTTCGTTTTGAGGTCCCTAGAGGCCAAAAACACCATTCGTTCAAATTCATATATATATATATTTATATATGTGTCCGTTAGTGCGATAACTCGAGCAAAAACGATCCGATTTTGATGAAATTTGGTACAAACGTGTAAACCTACGTTTATTCAAACGAGTTCGCGAACCAGCATGATCGGACCATGGGAACGGGGGTTTATGGGGGGTTTTATGGGGTAAAAATGGGTTTTTCCCATTTTTGACTCAAAATACATAACATTTTGCAATTTCTTTCCAAACTATTTTGTAGAGCTTAAAAAAACAAATAATTTAGTATATTGAAGCGTTATAATGCACCTAATGGTTACGGAGAAAATTCAAAAAATTGTAAATTTAAAATTCCCATGTTATTCTTATGGAGAATAAGTAAACTGTTGTAGTTTGCTTGTTTATTAACATATTTTGCCCAAATTTGGAAAATGTTTTTATTTCTTACTAAACTATTTAACTTTAAAAAACATAAAAAAAACACTTTTACCCTCCCTGTTGCAGCAAACCTAAGTATGTGTTAAACTGATTCTATTTAAATAAGGAATGTGATATTTTTAAGGAGACATTTTAGTGTAAATCCAATCAGGCAAATGGAAATTCGCTTAGTCTGCAGGTTTGCTGCGGCGGGGGTATTTTTACTACTTTTAGCCTGTTGAAAGTTACGTTTAATTAAAATTAAAAGCATAATACACACAAAGTCTTGCAATATTAAGACCATGATTAAAAGAAATAACAGATATTTGCACAAAATTAGGAACAGAAGAGCATGTATAAATTGCAAGTCAGATCTATAACTTAGGAACTAATCAGCAACTAATAAAGATAAAAGCATAGTTTTTTAAATGCAAAATACAAATGTTTAACCACTAAGTACAGTGGAGGTAAACAAATCATTACTAAACAGAAACTGCATAAAATTTAGCAAAATAGGCCTAAGCAATGTTTTTATCAAAATGAAATCCCAAATTAGCAATATATTTAAGTTTCTAACAGTTTTTAGAATTGATCTAAAAAAATACTGACTCAAGAATAATTTAAACTAAATATGCTACATTATGTACATTTACAATGTCTCAATCAACAGACAAATAATTTAAGGTCTTAGAAAAAAATCAAACCTTTTATTTTACCACAAAGTCAGATAGAATTTAGTTTTATAGATTAGTCCGTGAGATTTTACCCCCAATGCCTGCATCACAACTCAAAATGGAAATACCACTAGCTAAAGAGTGTAGCTTTTAAAATAATTACAAAACCATTATAAACATCTGTAACCACAGAGAAGTATGATACAGAGGATACAAGGTAATGGGACAACCGTCCACTTTTAGCTGTGGTATGTTGAGGCGGAAATGTACTTGTACCAAGCAAGGTAGAGCCTGAACGGTGAATGCCACATAGCATTTTGTACAGCAGTTGTAGTGCACAGGGTCTTCCTACAGTGTGAGCGCTGTAGTACGTAATGGTGAGGGGGAAAGGAGAGCGGATAGGGACGACAAAAAGAATTTGCTCTTGACACCAGCGACTGGTGCTAGACACCACTTAAGTGTACCATTGAATGTATCCTCTGTTTCTTATTTCTCTGTGCTTGTAACCAATATGCCAATATTTAGTTCATTTCAATAGACTTACATTAAATATATTATATCCATACATCATTTTACAAGTTAACATTTTGATAAAACAAAATTGGAATATTTCTAATTTTGACAGCAGATTTTGTAAAAAAATGTATTCTTGGGACGTACTATATTTTCCAGGCCAATAAACTTAAAATAATTTTTCGATACAGATTTTTGATTGTAAGAATTTTATGTTACAATATACTATGTGACATTTGGGTATAACCATTGACTATTGGATACTGAAAGTATAACTTAGCTTTAACTCAAATTTTATAAAACTCAAAAATGTTTAAAAATGTTAAAAACATTACAATTATTGCAGGTTAAATTATGCACTTAATTTAAAGGGCCCATTTAAATAAACAATAAGTTCAAGACAAATTTTGAAATATTGGGTTGTAACGTTATAAAACCAGGTCAGGCCAACGTAGTCACTCTGAAAATATGATCCATATAATTTGTAAACCATCTGTTAAGATGGCCTAGTTAGCATAGCCAGATCAAAATGCTTAACTTTAAAGAAATGTGTACAGAAATGTTTTTACATGCACAGGAACAAATCGGTAAGTTAACTCCAACAAGATTTTCAAAGACTTAATCCTACCAACAATCACTGGGCAACAAAAGCTTTCAATTAGGTGACAATATAACCTGTATGTGTGTGGTGTCTTTAAGTACTGTATTTTCAGTTAACATTCAATTGATCTGTTGGGGTTGAATACATGTCTGAAAGTGAAAAGACGGTTGTACAGCTTAATATGAATATATAGTGATTTTACGTTACTCTCAAGGGGAAAATTTAAGGCTTAAATTATTTCAATTCCGATTCCGAGATATACAAAAATAAGATCACCTAAGACAAAGGATCTCACACTAGATCCACATAAATAATTATAAATGAAAGGTTTGTTTTGATTACCGCACTTAAGATAAAAGCGTGAAAATACTTTTTTTCAGTTTAAAAATTAGCTTTGATTCAGGCAAAAAAAATTATTAAAAAAACAATGACTACATTTAAAATAAACTGACAAAAATGTTACAATTAAAATGCAAATAAGCATGCATAAATAATAAAACTGTATAGTAACCATCCCCTGAGTTGACCAGTGCAGGGCAAGAGTCTTAACTTATGAGAAACATTACAATGGTTAAGCAATATAACCTGTCTGCCTTCTGGCCTTGTGTAAATACAGGTAGATACTATAGTATATTTCGTACCTAGGGCCGAAAATGAGGTTTTGACGGCTCGAGATAGTTTTTAAGTTCGAGACGAAGTCTCGAACTTAAATCGATCGAGAGCTGCAAAACCATTTCGGTGCGTAGTATGAATGCTATTTTTCACCACACTATACCCTATTACCACTATTCACCACTATAATGCACACTGATAGTCAACACAACTACAACTTTAAGGTTATGTGAAGAAATAATTTGAGGAATCAGCAAAAATTAAAATAAATAGTTGCTAGGCAACGGTGACAATAACACAATTCTATTGCAATGCTATGGATTTTTATTGTGTATTTCAAATGCATTCATGTTTTAAGTAAGTAAGCGGACAGCTGATTTTGCGGCCCCGGGATGTAAAAACCTGCTCAGTCCCCAAATTACGATGACAGCTGGCATGGCCAGCAAAACGTTACTTTCAGCCACCAATTAACGTATGTAATACAGCCAAAAACATCATAGTGTGGTGAAAAACTGTTTAAGAACAAATAGATTTTGTTGATAAGATTATTTTATACAAAATCTTTAAAAACTACTTTTCCAGTCACACATGACACATTAGGCTAGGATTATTCTAGGATGCTGGCGTCCAAGAGGCCAGCGTCCGGGACGCTAGCGGGGCATTAAATCAAATGGGGGCGATCATACTACGGATGCTAGCGTCGGATGCTAAAAAAAGCCACCGGACGCTCGAAGCTATTACCGTAGGTGGCATGGTAAGACCTAGGCCCGGGACCGATTTACTTTTTCATTTTGATGTCCCCGAGGCCAAAAACACCATCCGTTCGTATAGATTTAAATATTATATATATGCCTGTAAACGCGATAACTGGAGTAACTTTTGTTCTATTTTGAAGAAATTTTGTTTTGAGGTGAGGGGTGGGATAAACTTGAATGAGTTCGCGAACCAGCATGAACAGACCTTGGGAACGGGGTTTCATGTGCTATAAAAGGGGGTTTGTCATTTTTGTCTAAAAATGTAAAAAAAATACTAAAAATGTAAAACTGAAAAATTCCCAATTTTTCTCTAGACAATTTTAATGAGCTTAAAAACAAATAATATAGTATATTTAAGTGTTTTTGTACAGTTATTAGTTATGGAGAAAATAAAAAAAAGAGTATATTAAAAATTTCCATGTTATTCTTATAGAAAATGTTGTTATGTGTTGGAATTTGCTTGTGTATGGATATATTTTGATTAAACTTGGACGATTTGATTGATACTAAGCTAATAATACAGTATTTTACTAAAAACACACTTTATTAGCCCTCTTAAAGCATCAAACCTTGGTACTCGTTAAACCTAATGTTATTTAAATAGATATAAACAAAAAGTGACTAAACATTGAAATAAAATGGCAGTCCGAGAGGCTAGCATCCCAACACAAATCACGTCATTTTTCGGCTCGAGGTGGGACGCTAGCCTCTCGGACGCCAGCATCCCGGATGCCAGCGTCCTAGTATAATCCTAGCCTTAATCATACATTATACATAAATTAATGATAAGAGCACTTGCTGCTTCTCATAAAGTAACAGTACATACTATTATTTGAAAATATTTAACAATTATTTAAAAACGCCTTGTGTTTCAATCATTTGTCTTCAAAAGGTTTCATTAGAGATTCATAGTTACTCTTACAGAATTTTAGTGACCTATATAGTGGCAGCATGAGATTTCACAATCAATTATCACTGGTAGGTTGTGATGTTATCACCTGGTAAATAGTGTTCTGGCCAATTGCAAACAATTTATCTCAGTGTATTGGTTAATTTAGATGGTTTGATTAGTTTGGATTCAAATAGTAAACATTATAATATAAAATATCAACCATTTGATGTACAGAACAAGTACTCCAGACCTTGATTATCTGGAGGTGGATTCAATCCAAAACTAGCCAATAATTTTACTACAGAATTAAAGTTTTTCCTGATCACAAAATCCTTGCCTCAATGGTCTCGCTTACATAGACTGTTTTATCTAAAAGTGATTATTTTCATGATTTGTGGTAGCTATGGTTTTCACCAGTCTGTTGTCCCAGTTACCTTCATTACCCCAGATAAGCGAGGTTCTGTTTTACAGTAGAACCCCTCAAATCCAACCTTGGCATAACTGACTCCTCAGGATTTCCGAACCAGTGTCCGACCCTTGTTTCCTGTCTGAGTGTGTTCCGTTAACCGAGAGGTCAATCACGAGTGTCACCTAAAAGGGCAAACTCACTGCTGTCTTTAAGATGTGTTCTCAAGTGTTGCCATAATCAAGGTTACAAATTAAAATTATTGTCTGTCCGAGACTGCAAGACATGTTCACGGGTGTTGCCGTGATTAAGGGAGATGATTACATGTGTCACCGAGACTGTAAGACATGCTAACTGGTTTTGCCGTGGTCCAAGGAGACCATTACTGGTGTCACTGAGAGTGCAAGACATGCTAGCATGTATTCATGTGGTTGCCCGAGACGATTACTGGTGTCGCCAAGATATGCTCAAAGGTGTTTCCACGGTCTCAGAAGATGATTATTTGTGTCGCTGAGACCGCAAGATATGCTCCTCCGAATATCCAACCTTTTGGCCGTTGCCACCATGGCCCAATCCTGTCATGGTCTGATATGAGGGGTTCTACTGTACTTTTAAAAGCTAATAACTCTTGACAAGCAAATTGTTTAAACTTTTGTCTTCAATTTTTTTTTTTTTTTTTTTTTTTTGTCCTAGGACGCTAGGCACGAGTTTGGGACTGTTTTTCACATTACTTCAGGCTAGACCTAGGGGTTGCGGCATTATCACTTAGATAAAATCCATTGGTGACTTGGCGGGGATCGAACCCGGGACCTCAGGGACTGAAGTCCCGCGATCTAACCACTACGCCAGCTCGCTCCTTTGTCTTCATATTAGCAATACATAAAATTTGACAGATCCGTAAGATTTGTTTTATTGAGATTCTTCAGTAAAATAAGACAGTGGAAAATATTCAAAAGATATAGTGTCAATAAAGTTAGGAATTAAACATAGTTAGCTTGGCCCCCTCACAAATGGAATGTTATTTTGCCTTTTTCTTGCTGAGCTGGATTTGTTTTTGTTGAGGTTGTCCCCAGCATAACTATGTTAGACACTCAATAAATCTAAGAAAATAAGACAAGTCAGAATTTTTAAACGAGTCTTGGGTTTTTGTGGAAGTGAGATGAGGGATTGAGGGGTTCAGTCAAAGGAGTTACAGATGGGGATGACCCCGACACCGACCCCGCCCTCGTGAGCACACATGGTCGCCACAAAGGACCATGAGTCAGTGGAGGGGTCATAGGCCTCAACAGTGCTGAGGTTGGACACTCCATCGTAGCCTCCAATGGCCCACAACTTGCCCATGTTCGCTACTAGCGCCACCCTACTGCGCATCACATTCATCGGGGCCACGTACTTCCATCTGCAACAGACAACAGAAATACCATTGATGAATCCTCCATCACAGATTGGGCATTGTTCAATTAAGTATGCTACATGTTCCAAATATGTATACATGTATATATCAAAGTTGAGTACAGCAAAAATCTGTTTTGTCACTAACTGCACTAAATTTTGGACAACATTTTTTTTTCATATAAGCAAGTTTGGTTGGTTTGGTTAGGTTATGAAAGTTTAATTTTATAATAAAAAAATTATAAAATTGAATTTAAGACATTTATAATTTTATTTTTAGAAAAGAACTATTTTTTCGATTAGTAAACCTTCATTCGAGTTTTTCATTATCAGCAAGTTTGGCTAGGTTATAACAGTTTAATAATTATGTTTAATTCAAATTGAACCTACAAACGATACGTTTTAACAGTCACAGTGATAGAACCAACAATTTACCACAACAGTTGGGCTATGCTGATGCGCCGGTATGATTCGGAAGCGTACGGCATCGTGCGGTGGAGGGGGGTGTTACGATTGGGAGAGTCTTGTCAATATGATCAGCACAAAAATAAAAAATGTCAGACAGACATCATGAGAAAGCTAGAATCTACGGAAAACAATTATACCAATTTTGATCTAGTACGATCCGGTTCAGTCAGTCCCAAAGCCTTCGCCGTAAACGATGTTTGTGTGTCGCAAATTGGACTTCCAGACTGTGATTCCTATGACCTCGTCATATGCCCAAAATAATGTTTTAACACCATGGGTATAATACTGTTGTATAAATAACTTACCATCAGGGCAATACAAGTTATTTTTCATTGTTTACCCTGTACATTGGAAATATTATGATTAGCTCAAACTTGGTTATTGTTTTAGTTGTTAGGGGACAAATGAAAAATTAACAAACGGTTGAGGTAATAAGCTGGTAAATTTTTAGAATATGAACTTACTTGTCAGATATCGGATCATACATCTCAACAGATTGGAGGAATGTGGCTCCATCATAGCCGCCACAGACGTATAATTTGTCATTGAGAGTAGCTACTCCGAGGCGACATCGCTTGGTCAACATGGGGGTCACTGATGTCCACTGTCCAGTTGTAGGGTCATACCTCTCAACCTGCACACAATATCTTTGAACTATCATAGCAGACTTAAGTGTAGCAACTCTGCGAGATTTAGTATAAAATTTAATCATAGTAATAATACTATTAACTATCAGGGAAAACTCACCGAGTCAAAGATGGATAATCCATCGTGGCCACCGAGAGCGTAGACGTAGCCCTGGAAGCCTATGACACCGCCAGCACTACGATGTTTCAGCATGCTGTTGATGGTGGTCCATGTGTCAGTGTCAGGTTGGTAGCACTCTACTGTGTTGAGGGATGACACTCCGTCATAGCCGCCACACACATACAGTCGATCGTTTAGAGCAGCGGCACCCACAGCACTGCGAACACAACAGTAGGCCTATTTGTCAGGTGTATGGTCAAACCATTTTTCCTTGGTGCTTTTCTGGATTTTGGAACTGACAACCACTCAAAGACTATTAGGTAGTTAGCAGATTAGTACATTTAGGATTTGCCTCTATAATCAATGATGGGTGTGTAACAGTTTTTACAACCAATTTAAAGAACCACATCCTTTGCATTCTCATCCCGTTGTGAAGCACAGGCAGAGCAGTTTTTAAGTAATGTTTCAAGCAAGCAATCATTTAATTAAAACTACAAACCAAAAAATTACCTCCTTTTGCAGTTCATGGGTGACACCTGTCTCCACACTCGTTTGTCTGGATCAAAAACCTCAACCGTAGAGAGTCGCTCGGAGCCATTGTATCCACCAAAAGCGTACAGACGGTTTTTCATGACTGCAACACCAACTCTACTGCGCAACATGCTCATAGCCTCTGCCATCTGCCACCGCCCAACGATGGGATCAAACACTTCCACAGTGCTCAGTGAGTCACCTACAGTACGGTTACAGGCTTTATAACCAACAATTCCCATAAACTATATTCATAAAACTATATTTCGATATAAATAATAATAACCAGTTAACAAAATAATTTAAATAATTATATTAGGGCCTAATTATGTGTTGCTGATAATTTAAATCTAAATTGTACTTAACAATACTATACAAAAAGGGTTTTGCCTCTTTCCTTTACCTTTATAATTTTAAATCCTTCTAATTTTTGTGATCCCAATAGAGTAAAGTATTTTACAATAGATCAATATCAAAATTTAAAGTTTCAAATCCAATGTACCATTTTTAGTGAGTCCTCCAACAGCAAATATATGTCCCATGATGTAGTTACAGCATCGTGGTCGTGTGCGGAAACTCTGAAGAAGTGGCCTTCTTTCTGGCATCAGATGATAATCCTTGGCTTCATCTAGCAGATCTCTGTGGTGCAAGCAAACTGTTTTGTCATCAAGTGAAAACCAATATCTTTTGGTTATGTTAAATTCATATTTTAGGAATATAACGTTTTGAATTTTGAATGTGAACTGCAAAGCTCGCCTCTACCAATAAATATCTTCACACGTTTGTTAATAGATAAATATGCACCTGTTCTTTGATCCTATATCACAAGTCTGAAGGGACTAAAGAAGTCTCTTTAATTGATATTTCTTTTAATTTTTATTTTTTTTTTAATTGTTATTTGTCTTTATAGGAGGTTGTTTGTCTATTATAAGTTTGCATATCATGCCCGTCCACATAGGCCTCACAGCCGCGCGTGGAACTTAACCAGCAAAGCAAGGCGTAAGCCCATACAAACAAGAAATTGAACTGTACTGAGAAAATGTAGTGGTGTATCAGGATTGGAAACCACAACACCGCTGTCATGGATCCAAATTCTGTCGCGCTACCGATTGTCACCAGCTCACCTAGGTTAGATGTTCTATAATTTGTATAACCTAACAACTATCAAATGTAAAGTACCTAACAACATTTTAACCAACTATCTGAAAGTGTAGTAAAACTGTTATCCAGGAATACTCATAAAAATGAATGGTATTTCTGATCAACGATCGAACAGCTACTGACTTGATGTATGTTTCAGCCGTGAAAATTGAATCAGGTTGACTATTGACTGCAGTATTGGTTACACTTGTGTAACTTTACTGAGCTGTATGAAAGAGATCTACTTAAATATATACAGAGGAGTAAAACTTAATACTCTATAACAGATTGTAGTTTTAAGTTTCAGGGTTGTATAACTATTGAACAGGGTTGCATGATAAACTCACTAAACAGTAAACAAAAGGTGAATTTTTTTGGTTACCATTTAATACATTGAGGTTTCAATCAACCTATTGTTATACACATTGTACACCTATTGTTATTAAGAGGTCTATATTCTGTTGGACATCATGGCAATTCAAGTTAGTTTTGAGTCAGTGTTATTAAAGGAATATTCAGTGTTATTTGTGTTATTTGAAACTCATTTCGCCTATTGGGTCTGATGAAGATTGGAGTGTCCAATCGAAATCGATCACCACTTTCCATCTTTTGTATATTTACCGTCTTGTGAGTAACAGTAAAGCGTAAATATATGTTTTAAGTGTTATAAGACGTATCTTTATTTACTTTACGTAAAGGAATACATAGAGGTCCGTTACCTTAATTCTTTACAACGCTAGGATTCAAAATAAATATAAAATTTAGTCCTAATTTGTTGCAAACCTGCACTCGTGAGATGTGCGGACCAGCTCCTCAGTAGCCACACTGTCTGCCAAGTAGTGAGGCCGCAGCAACGGCAGTCTCACCGCAGACAATAGCTGCGGCAAGTCACTGCGGCGGATCTCTGGGCTCTTCTTCACCCACCTCATGATGGCCTCAAATACCTAAACATCAATTCTTCTTTAATTGTAAAATTGACTTCAAAGTTCTGCTGATAGTTTTTTTTTTTTTTTTTTTTTACTTTAAAAGACTATTGAAGAAATTATAGTACAATACTCCTGATTAACCAAGGTTGTTGGGTACCAGACTATTTGGGTTACCGAGAATCTGGGATAACATGGAGGTCGCTTAGTTATTGAGGTTAGGGGTTGCGGTGCAACATTAGAAAGTCAAAATACTGTAAAATATATGTTTAAACAATACATCGGGATCGGGAATAAAAAAGATAGGCCTAATTGGAAATTTCATACAAAGATAGTCTCGTGAAAGTAAAAGCTCGGCTACAGCTCAATTTCCATACTAAATGCTCGATACTCCAGCTGATACTCTAGGCTTGGCTCATCTGCTTGTACACCTCTACTATATTTGGTTCTGGCCTGAGTAAAATTTTTTTGTCAAATTAGTAATATAAGGGTATAATTTGGTTGTTAACAAATAAAAGTTCAATAGTTGTTTATTTTTATTCATAGACTGTTCCTTCTATTTGTAACTTTTAATTGGGTCAGTTTAAAATCAATTTTCAACTGACAAAAACTTGTGAACAAAGTTCAGTTGTACTGTAAACAGTTGGCCCAATCAATTTCTGTTTACCTGCTCCTCAGATATGACATGTAGCTCATCCCGTTTCACAATATCTAGCAACTCGGTGGCACTGAGAGTGAGATATTCCTCACAAAGACTGACATCGTGAAAATACTGCTGCACATACTTGTCAGCTGATTCTACTAGCAACATACATCCCAGTGTGTCTGCAAACTGTCTGATGCCCAGTACATTCTGAGGGTGGAACCTGTGAAATATAAGAGGCTGGTAATGTTGCGGTTTGGGTAACCACTGGGTGCGACATGCGAACTTGCTTTGCTCCGTGTGAGGTTAGCTTTCGTTCATAGACGTTCTCACATCAGTAGTACTTCTTGTCAGTCCGATATAATCGTAATACATATTTTATTAAGGATTAACTTACATGTCTTTAGTTTCCAGGTTTTTTGCCCTAGCTTGTTTCCTGCATTTAGCAGTACGATGGAACAGCTAACATCTGTCAAGAGCTGCTATCCCTACAGGTATTTTTAGTTGAATTACTAACACAAACACTGGAACGTAGTGCATGCTATATTGTGGCTCTTATGTTGGATAGAACAAAATTGAACATTTTCTTGCAACCGCAGCAAATGTTAACACATTACATCAAGCACACAAGAGCTACAGTTAGCACAATGTTTCCTGACCCGTGGAAAGCGTACCTTCAGCACCATGAGACCAGTTGTGTTGTTGTCAAGTTTCCAGTGTAGGAATGCTCACCACCGACTCGGTCAAGGATCGCGTATTACTATTTAGGATTTTTAGAAAAAGCAGAGTAGGAACGGTGTTCCTGTCCCACTAAATTAATGGCTTACTGGCTTAGACAACTTAGGTGGTACCTGGTGACAGTGACAAAGTATGAGTGAGTACTATTATATTTCAGGATTGTTTGGGTTGGTGCATTAGTTTTTGGCAACTGTGTAAAATCAGCAAAACAAAAGATCAGGACAAGGTTATTTTGTTAGTTTGTTAAAATAGTACTGTAGATAGTATAGGCTAGTACCTATAGTACTCTTAGTACCAAACTCTAAAGTAATATGAGTAAAATTAAAACTCACACCTGGTGATCAGTAGACTAACATTAATACAAATGACAATGTTACAAAAATTTGTATAGGCCTACTGACTTTTATTGAAAAAAACTATTTTGGGCAAAATATTTTTTTAATTCAAATTAACTTATGGGCAGATTAGGATTTAAAACGCTATAACTAAAAAAAACCAATGAGCTATAGATAAATAAAAGCTTAGTATCTTACCTCTTTTTTAAGAAATCTGCACAAGCGTTTCTAACTTTGGGTAGTGACAAGAACGAAGCACCCACCATGAGACTCTGCACATTGTTAGTGTTGATGGTCACTCTTCCACTGTAGGCAAAGTTTATAAGGGCTTCTAATGCTCTGGAAAGTAAGTTGAGCTTGTTAGATTATAGGTCATCATACTACTCAGGTAATGACCAGCAGATACAATTTTAACAATAAGTTATTAACTGTAAATAAATAATTAATCGGATCAATAGTTTTAATTTTCTGTAACTGTACTTTTCAGCTAGTCCTACTAATATTATAAATGAGAAAGTTTGGATGTATGTTTGTGACAAGTAAACACGAAAAATACTGGTCGGATTGGGCTGAAATTTGGCATGATGATAGCTCACATTCCCGATTAACATATAGGCATATTCTTATATCTCAAAAATCCTTTTGGGCTCCGCCCCAGTGGCTCTGCAGTTCCCCATGTTAACCTTATGAGTATTCATATTTAAAGGGAATTAAAGAATTTAGCCAGCTGTTTCAACTAAAAGGGTTGGTTCTATGATATGCAAAAGCATTAAAAATTTATAAGATTAACCAACAGGGTTCAGCACTATTATTTTTTTCATTATTTATGAAAACAGCTAATTTGAAGCAGCAACAAAAAACTGTGATAGGTACACAATGAGAACTGTCAAAGTAGGATTGTTTACAGTTATGTTTATGTTTTTAATTTCATGAATAATTTATGATATTTCACGAATTTTTAATAGTCTATCTTTCTCTATTGTGTACGTGAAGTAGTAGAACATTATGGCTATGGTATATGTGTAATACTATCGCATACCGTAAATTTGATGAAGCAAATTTTCTCAAACAGTGTTTTCTCACATCGCAAACGCAAAGATTGGGTATAACTGCAATAAGCATTTTATACTTATTTGCCAACCCTGTACGAAGGACGCGTACTCTGCTAGTATTAAATAAATAAATGTTTAGCATGCAAAATATCAGACCATGGCATGTTTCGCAAAACTGCCGCAGCCCGATATATCAGACCGTGGCGGCAAAAGGGTTAATTTTTAACATACTTACACTGCATCAATTCCATGAATTGTGATGTCCCTTTGTTTACTTTCAACCATATCATGAGTAAACATTGCATGAAAATATGGTATTGTTGCAGCCAAAATTATACGATGTCCACTAAATGACTGATCTTCAACCTAGAAAAGTATATAAAGTCAATAAGCAATGTATTAACAGGGCCCTCTAACAGTAAAAGAGTTGGAAATCGTTGAATGCACAACGGTTTCTAGAAAAATTAGAAACATACACATAACATATTAAGGAACACACTTTAACCACAAATGTGCAAATTGTAAACAACAAAATGTATAAACAAAGAAAAATCAAGAATATATTACCGGATTAAATATCAATATATCGGTTTAATATATTGCTTCCATGATATTATTTTTACCAATGTAAACAATGAATTGAGTTATGATCTCTTTACGTTTGTAGGCTATTGATGTTTATTATTATTGATGTCGCAGACTTAGCGAAATTCCATTTGCCTGATTGGATTTACACTAAAATGTCTCCTTAAAAATAACACATTTATTCCCTATTTAAATAGAATTAGTTTAACGAGAACTTAGGTTTGCTGCAACAGGGAAGGTAAAAAAAGGGTGTGTATAAGTGTGTTTTTTGTTGTAAAATGTGAATACTGTAGTTTAGTAGGAAATGAATGTATTTTCCAAATTTGATCAATCTATGTTCATAAACAAGCAAGAAGCAAACTACAACAGTAGTTGTATGTTGTAGTTGTAGTTGTATGTTATTCTCCATAAGAATAACATTAAACACATTAAATTTACAATTTTTTGGAATTTTTTCCGTAACCATTAGGCGCATAATAACGCTTCAATATACTAAATTATTTATTTTTTTAAGCTCTACAAAATGATTTTGAAAGGAATTGTGAAATGTTGTGTTTTTAGGGTCAAAAATGGGAAAAACCTATTTTTACGCGATAAAACCCCCCATAAACCCCCGTTCCCATTGTCCGATTATGCTGGTTTGCAAACTCGTTCAAATAAATGTATGTTTACACGTTTGTACCAAATTTCATAAAAAATCAGATCATTTTTGCTCGAGGCTAAAGTAATACAACAAAATTGAAAAAAATAAGACAGATGTAGGCTACATAAAGTATTTTGGAAAGTTATGTATAACTGAATTTTAAATATTACATTGTACTGTATGTGCAGTTATTAAACAAATATGCCTACATATTATTTGACACTAATCACTTTATATATTTGCAAAGCTTTTCCCAAATTAAATCTATATCATAAAAGAGGAAGTATGTATGTATGTATGTGTGTACCCTATGGACTCCGAAACCGCTTGACAGATTGTAATGAAACTTTCAGGAATTATTAAGTATTTTTGTGTGAAGTTTGGTGCAGATCCGTCAAAAGGGCTCCGCCCCAGAGGGTTTTAAGGGGTCCAATGTCAGACTTTTGGAACTAAAATGTTTACGAATAAATATAATTTAAAAGCAGATGTTTACTTTCACCAACTGTTTTGTAGGTTTGAATAATCAAAACATTCTGTATTAGTCATGATTTGAAATAGTCCCACACTATTTCCAAAGAATGCAGCACAGAAAACTATTTTACTTTTGGATAAGTCCAAATATATTAAACCCCAATCTCAGCACACCTGTGCACTCAACAATGTTTAAATTCTCCACTATTAAATATGTAAACATAAAAAGTAAAAACCTATCAAAGTATTATAAACAAAATAAAAGGGATGGCAATGCCTTAATATTTTTATCTTTTCTTCTATACCCACAAAATCTAACATAAATTATTAAGTGAATAATAATCGTGCTAATCTCAGGTATTGAAATTCCTTCCAATTTTTCATTAACCCACCCCATTACCATCTTTAAAAGAAGGAACTCCAATAATATTAATGCAAAACTTAAATGCACCCAAGCTGTACAACAGAACGTTACTGACAATTAAAAAAATTACACAATACTTGATTGAAGCGAAAAAGCCAAAAAGCTAAAAAATTATATATTTATACACCTAATGAAATAGGAGAAAAAAATTGTTTATCCACAAGCAATTTAGTAAAATAAATATTCTATTTTTGTTTTTGGTAGGGTGTACAGGGGTAAAAGGGATCAGAAAATCATAGGCCTATAATTCAACTTTAGGCCTGAGTGACACACTCAACATCTGAGTGAATACTTCAATAACATTCAAATTTTAATCAAGTATTAATAATCTCTTTCTTCATACTTTAGTATTTTTTCTGATTATTAAAATAAACTCTAACTTACATAAAAAACCTCTGTCCTTGATTCCAATTGCCCCACACACTTGGGGTAATTGGGATCACAGCTCCTATCCATATAATGCAATGCAATCAGATATGGGGCTATTGGGATATACAACATTTGATAAGCATTCTGGAACAATTAAAATTTTTATTTTATCTTAAATTAGTTTTTGAATTATGAACTTTTTTGTACGGTCTGTCAGGACTTCCTAAATTTGATTTTTTTTTTGTAGATAGTGTAAATACCTAACTAAAATAAAATAGGCCTACTAGCATTTATTCATACCTTTAGCTTAAATAAGAAGTTTCCACATAAAAATAAACGTTTTTCAGTCTTTTTTTGGCTAATTGATATTTTTAGGCATTGATTTAGGCATTGAATCACGGTGATTCCAATTGCCCCAACACCCGTGATCCCAATTACCCCATAATGCAATATTCATTCATTTTCTTCATTTATTCATTTATTTATATTTATTCATTCATGGGGTAAAAGGGATCACAGCTGTAACGTTTTCTTCTTAAGTCCTAGAGCAACTTGGTTTCCAAATTTAGATTCTCCGTAAAAAGTTCATAAAAACTCCATTTCTCATTAGGCCTAAACTTTTTAAAAAACTGGCAGTAATCTAGAACAAAAAGAAAAATTGCCGATCAAATTGATAAAAAAGTTGATTTACAGGCCAAATTTCAAAAATTCATAAAAAATATCTACTTTTTACATTTCAAACAATTATATAAATAGAAAGAGAAAGTTTTAAGCTTTCTAAAATCACTTGGTTTTAATTTTTTTTATAAAATTTTTTATTTTTACATCCCCTGATCCCAATTACCCCGAGATCCTAATTACCACTGTACACCCTATATATTTTTATTATTTATCGTAAAGAACAAATTACCATAAAAATAATGTTGTTAGCGCAGCAACGCACGGATGGAGTAAGTTTGCTGGATTTACTTGTATAGGCCTACTACTTTTAGTTTAGTAATAATAGGCTAGCCTAGAATAATGAACCCCACTGTGGACTTGAAGGCCCCGCCCCAACTTAATTGTCTTAATATAGGCTAAATCAATATTGCAATGTCTCAGTGTCGCTTTGTAGACACGAGTAGCTGCCATATTCTATTTTTATTTCACCCAACCGGCCGATAGTCGACCTTGGTACTCTGAAGATGACTCACGATAGTGTCAATGATTTCAAATACGCACGTTTTGACGTGTCGCCCCTCCCCCACCCACCACCACCCCTACTCCAATCACTCCTTTCTCTTACGGCAGTCTCTCTCAGTTCAGCTATTTGAGCTTAGTTTGATGAGTGATTACGAGTTATTTAGGTGAATATTATGTTAGTGTCCAATACATCCAAAAAGTTAACGGGAGCTCAGCAGAAAAATTAAATAAATAATATTTTCTTACGTTAATTGTATGGATTGATTGTCATCAATTTAAAAAGATTTTCATCAAAAATTAAAGTAATTTAATCCCCGATTCCTGACTCTAGTATTTGTGTAAGGTAATTCAATCTGTTTATTAGGTGTCTGTTGTTGAGCATTGGACCAAGATAGCGGCGCAACCCGCCACACAACTTTGTATAACGAGCTAGCATCACTCAATGTGTTGGGTGGGGGGGCACCTGACAACATCCTGCCCCGGGAGCCAATAAACCGCACGACGGCCCTGAGCAAATTAGATATAATTAATAAAAAAAATTAAGCTAGGGTAAACAAAAACCCTACAATCCAGAATAAGGTTTGGTAAGCTTAATTGCCTTTAGAAAATCGATTTAAAATTATCTTGACCTTATACTTAACTAGAGGTAGCCTATTCACATTAAAGATGATTCAAAAATTAAGACCTAACTTAGTTTTTTTTAGTCGCATATAAGTGTGTAGGATAAAATAAACAAACTATAGGCTAGGTTATGTTTTTTGTGCTTTTTTATGCGTTTTGTTTTTGTTAATTCAATGTGATATTAAGTTAATATTGAACCAAATAAAAAATTGATTTATCGATATTTAATTCAATAATATATTAAAATACAGGTTTTCTGTGGAACTGTACCAACCAAAACAGTAAAATTATGAAAGTAGGTAGGCTATAATAAACTAATTTTCTAAAAAATATTGAATGAATGGATTATTTCTTTATTCCAACAAAGTATTTACAGAATTTGTATACAAATCATTAAAGGGGGAAAAAACCTAGGCTAAGTGAATTTAAAAGAAAAGAATAAAATAAATTAACCTTTGAATTAGCGTACATATTTATAAGGAATAAGCTGACATGGGCAGCGGGCCTGTGCGTCGACTGTAGTTGCGTCCAAACATAACATTATTTTATCAAAATACAAAATCTAAATAAATAAATACTTAACAGAAGATATGACGAGGTGAAAATATGATCTAAATGGAATTACAAGAACAAACCATGTGAAAAAATAATGTACTACATGGCATAATTCATTTAAAAAAATAATATAACTGTAGTAGTGACAGGGATTCTACGTTTTTCAAAGTGTGTCTAAAGGTGGTGGGGCGGGCAGTGGAAAACGAGTCGTCAGAGTACAATGGTCAGGTCGCATGTCGTGTCAGGAGTGTCTGTGTCTATAATCAGCTGTGATGATAAGCTCAGCCTCGTCCCTGACTAGACCAAACCTACCTATTAATAGCCTACTTTAATTCATTTTCAAACGGTAAGTATTTCTTAGACCTAACGGATCTCATAATGTGTCACGTTGAAATTTGAAGGTCTGGTAGGCCTACAGCCCAGAACAGAACTTTTAGAGTGTTAAATGTTTTAGATTTAACTAATAATATTCCATTGTACTTACTTTTAAAGTTACATCACAAAGCTTTCCTTGTCTTCTAATTTCTTCCATCACAGGGAAACCACTTGAAAATAAATCTAACTGTTGAAAAATTATGCATTCTTCGGTTTCAAGAGTGATTGGTTTATTGTTAAATTGCTTCATTTTGTATTATGGTGGGAAAATCCTCCTACATAATAGATCAAACTTAACATAGGAAAGTTATCATTGTTGTTATTTTAAGTTTATTTAATAACTTAATGTAGGCTTAAAGTAAAGTGCCTCGTTCAGACCTGAAAATCATTGCGTTTTGTCTAACGTTATGTGAACTTTCTAGACTAAAAGTGACTTAAGTTCTTAATTTTACATATTGTTTTTACAATATTAATTTTACAATAATTTTTCTATCCTAGTGTAAATTTACAAAATTCAAACCAGTGGACCCAGCAACAACCAAATTTGACACCATTCACCATAACACCAACACCAACACCAACCACAGCCAGAGCCAGAGCCAGCAGCTGCAGTGTGCAGACGATGTCGATTGAAACATATGAGAATAATTCTTTTCTTTTTCTTTTCAGTTTAGGTTTTCAGTCAGCAAGAATCAGGAAACAGCCAGGTGCTGATTGTTGGAGACCGTAGAGTATTAGCATTATTAGAGAGTGTTAATACTTACTTACTTAATACTTGAATACTTGTTGTCTTAATCTTTGACCAAAGTATATCGGATAGATTGCGTCGTTATGCTAATATTTACAAAATTATTATATACAAAACTTGCTTTACAAAATACCATAAAACTTAACACTTAGGCTGTGTTAAGCGTGTCTGTTTCTCAACCTGCCATCAAAGGATCATTTGACAACTCATCAAGACTACAGGGGCCTATTTGTGAGCAAGTTCTTCAGCTCGGTCTTAAACGCTGTACAGTTGAGGTTCCTTAGGTGGTTTGGAAGGGAGTTGTAGATTTTGATAGCCGAGCGGGGGTATCTCCTTAAGGTATGGCTCAAACGGCAGCGAGGCATATCCAGGTCATGGGCCCTTCTTATTCCATACTCGCCTATCACCACGGATCACAAAATCACTAAGGTTCTCCTTTAGCAAGACCAGACTATTGAGTACATACTGGCTCACCACTGTGAGGATTCCCAATTCTCACCAGCTCAGGGGCAAACCACAATATTGAGTATATAAGATTATTAACAGGATAAGACAAAATTTGTTTAGAGATATTTTCTATATTATTTATCGCCGAAACGTAAAGTGCTCACCGATAAGTTACCGGTATTCAGTAGGTCTATAATACAATCAAATAGACCAATTATTTTAGAAAATAAGTAATATTTATTCATCAAATGTCCTACACACCTTTTGTTATAATGCTTGTATATAAATATACTACTTGATTTGCCTGTGCTCGAAAATGAATAATGTGGCTGTCTAGCTGTCTTAGTCCACTGTAAAAACATTTATATGTCTACAATTTACTATGGAGGTAAAACTCTATTTACTACTAGTTTCAAGGAATATCTTTGATTTATTTATTTCAATCAGCTATGTTGCAATATCAGAATTAAAGAACTTCATTGAGATTTGGCCAATAAAGATTTGGCGGTATCAAAAAATTGATACCATGAGTAATACAAGAACACAATTCTCTTTCACACAACTTTAACAAATTATTGGATCAGGAAAATAAAAGGTATTGCGTTATGAAGTAAGATTCGCATTGCTAATTCACTAAATCTTCAGACAACAGAAGTTGTACATTTTGAATGTTTTAGTATTGTTAAAAAACTATAGGTTATAAGTTTTAATTTGCCAAAATAAATTATAAACATATTTTAAGGTTCAAAACTACACAGTAATAAGCATTGCCTTTTCCAGAAAAATAACATATTCATTTGAAATGTTTATGTCAACAAATAAGTGTAGCAGAGCAGGTTGAGTGAATGTATGTTTGTGTAGAAGAGGTTCATACTACCTGCCGCCTCAGTAACCCACCGTTTCGAATGGTGGGCACGGCCCATTTTCCACCACACAGTGCGCTATCCAGTAGAGAGTATTGAGAGTATACATTGGTATATAACAAGTAAAAATGACTGTAATATCTAATACTGTGTTAGCTCACCCTATAAAAGTTAAACATCACTCACTGATTATGTCTTTACTGTTGAATCAATCGTCGGGATCATCTCGTCAATGATTTTACTGTCACTGCTGCAAATGTCATTTCCCACATTAATAACAAATCTCTCAGTCATTGCATCGATAGCTGCCATGTTGACCATATATATGTCCTGGTCCTGCATGTCCCAAACATGCTCGTACCTTTTTGACTTTCTTCAGAAGTTATGTGTTTCCTTGCTGAATTCAATGGAGTCATTTTTCTGAGACATAATTTTTCGCAACACCCTAGATAATTTCTATAGGGTTAAAATCTGGGTGGTAAGGTTTTAGACATACCAAAACAGTTGTGTAAAATTGGATCTATGCAATACATTTTACTGTCTTGATCATCTCTCCTGTTTTGCACTGCTGCTTAGCATTTGTTGTATAAGATATGTCAATAACCACTACACTTTTGGGAGGAAGATTTTGAATATTTTTTTCCTAAAGCCATTTGTTTTTAATTAATCAAATGCGTGGGAAACGGACTTTCGGCCTGCGCTGCCCCTGACTCGGCCTGGGCTGCCCCTATTGTGTGTTGTAAAGGGTAGGTTTCTCGGGAGCAGGTACCTGACCTCAGCTTGCACTTTACCCATTAAATCCCAGGAATCTCCCAGAAATACTTGTGGGGTAGTAGTCAGGGTCGTCGACACAGGAGGCATGGGCCAAGCCTTCTAAGAAATACATTACTATTGTTCTAGAATATTACTGTAATCTTTGGCATTAAAGATTCAGGAAGTGATGGTGTGATGGTGGTAGTGAATATCCGCCACAAATAAACGTCGTTTTGTTTCAACATTTAAAATACAAAAATATGTAAATGTCTACTACATATAATTCATCAGTTATGCTTCTTTTTATGGGATATTTTGATAGTGATTTTCTAAAAAACTAGTTTTTATCGATAATTGTACTTGGAGAAATACAACTTTTTAAACATGCTTCGCAAACAAGTGAACCACTCTAGGTAAAAGATAGTTGAGGAAAAAAATTGTTTAAAGTCAAAGACATCAACTGTCTTTGCTTTGAATTGTACATTATGTTTCTTGTTTTAAAATAAAACTAAATCTTTAGATAAGGAATTCCATTTAATGAGCTACAAGTAAGTTTGTTTACTAAAACATTGTTTACAAAAAACAACATAATAATAATTAAGAACCATATGACTTTATAGTCATATGTCACATTATGAAAGATTTCAATGTAATTGTTAGAACTTGAGTTCTTTATTTCGTTTGCCGCACACGCTAAATATAAAAATAACAGATTTTCGTGTACAGTAGTAAAACAATACAAAATAGTGCATTTTATCACTAGAGGGTGCCTGTTGAACTGTATTGCGAACAATTTAAATGTAAAATACCTGTAGCAATTTGAACTTGAATTCTTTATTTCTTTGGCCGTGTGCGCTAAATATAAAAGTAATTGTGTAAAGTACCTAGTAAAAGAATATAAAATTGTGCATTTCATCACTAAAGGGTGGCTATTTAACTGTATTACGAAATATTTAAATGTAAAATACTTGTAGTAATTGGAAATTGAATTCTTTATTTCGTTGGCCACGTACGCTAAATATAAAAGTGTTCAGTAAAAGTTAATTTTGACACATTTCCTCTGATATTTTACCTAATAAAACATTAAATTTAATTCTACCCAACTGATTTTTTTTTGGAAATACAATGTTGAATTATGTGTTCCAATTATTATATTGCAAATTGCATTGATTGTTGAATGAAATTCACAGATTCATATTGGATTAGATATATTATTATATCTAAATATATTATAAGATGAAAATGTTATACCAATTAAGCGAGATATATTGAAATATACAGGATGAGTCTTCTAAGGTGTCCTAAACAGATTGCAGACAAACGGCTTGACATACAGAGATGAAAAAAAAAAACTTTTCCCCACTAATTCATATACAAGGAACAACGTGGTTGATACCAGGGTTAGAATCTTAGAGTTTTCAAATGTAAACGTGCAGGACTGTATTGAAAAGTGTATCTGCATCCACTAATCTCCAGTACTGCACGTTTAACATAGGTTGTATATGGGCAATTGGAGTTTTTGGTTAATTACTAGAAAACTACTAAAGATGGGTTTAAATTTATAAGTTTTTTTGCAATACCTTCAAAATGATACGCCATTTGACATATGTTTCTATTTAAATTTTTTTATTTACATGGCTACCAATATAAAAAAAATCATTGAAAAAATATTTAGTTTTTAAAACTTTGACATATTACATATAATATTAAAGCAGAACTCACGAGGATTAAGAATTTTTAAACAGAACGAAAACAGGTTTAGTGGTTTTAACAGGGTATTCTGTAAATATCAATTAATATTTTCAATACAAATGGCCGCCATTTTGAAACGGATAGAGATAAAGGAGTTCTGTTTTCACTAAATTGCTTGTCTAGTTTAGAGCTAAAAACTATGCATAACATGACATATGTTAAAAAAACTTTTTACGTTGTTCCTTGCGTATGAATTCGTGGGGAAAAGTTTTGTTTCATCTCTGTAAGTCAAGCTGTTTGTCTGCAATCTGTTTAGGATAGCTTAGAAGACTCACCCCGTATTTGGTTGATACTATGGAGTTGTCTTTTGGATTTCGTTGGAATTATTTTAAATGTGACAAAAATAATTTTATTTTGGATCTAAGTCTAAATAGACGCCTCCATCTATAAAATAAATTGCCTTTCCGGATTTACCAAAAGGATTATGACCAGTTAAATTAATAAAATTAGAATTTCGCTAATTCATTGTTGTTTTGTTTAGCATAGTTTTATTTTTATTTTATTTTAAGCCTAACAACTCAATTGTATCTGTTTGTCTGATATGGGTGTGGTTGTTTGTTCATTTGTTACGCTTAAGCACCATATTTGTTACTGTAAAAAACAAGTGTACAATTATTGTTAATCAAAATGTTTAATGGTATAGTACCTATGAAATGGTGAGGTGGTGTTAAGCAATTTTTAACTAGGGTAGAAAGGAGTCCTAAATAAAAAAAAATAGTTTTCTTCATGTTAAGTGGTCTGGAAATTCTTGATTTACTCAACGTTTAAATTTGTTTCAATGTTTAACTCCTATGGCAAACAAGTCTTAATTAACTTTTGTCACCACAGATCGTTCCACATGACGAATTTTACGAAAAATTCGGTAACGTGAAAGTAGTTAAAATAGAGTCACGCAATTGCTTTTTTTTGTACAGTAATAATAACATTTTTAACATGCAACCGATTGTTATTTTTAAGTATACATGTATACGTCGTATAAACATTCTGTAAAAGTTAAATTCATCGTATAAATGCTTTTTCAAATAACGTGTACACGTTTCGTGTAAATAATTTATTTAATTTATAAATGGTTTATAAAACTTTAATACATATATTATGTAAGGCGGATGTTGTCCCCACCTTCTACAGTAGCCTGTCTATAAAAACTATAACGTCTTTAACTAATATAATGGTAAATTTATACATACACCACTGTTTTGGTATCTTTAACTTTTTGGGCTGACCCATACGTGGTCAAATTGTCGTTAAAGTCGGTTAAAAACTGTTTAAATGAACAATTTCAAGCTCGGTGTTTGTGGCTAAGCCAGTCTAGACATTGAATTAAATCCATCTAATGCCTGCTCTAGAGTGCCCTGGGGCTCAGGTCCTTCCTGGAAGTACTAATCCAGAATCCTATTCATAGTTTTTGCCCAGCTTGCTGTGTCACACACCCCTATCTCCCCTTCCCTACTTCCTTTTACCCACAAAACCCTTGAAATTAACCTATAGGGAATCTTTCGGGAGCAACAGACTCAGAGCTACCTATGTTCCCTATTGTTTGTTGCGGAGGGTAAGTTCCTCATAATCACCCCAGGCCGAAAGTCCTACACTCCAAATGCGTTGAGTCGTAATAATCACCACGCTTTTTGACCAGTCTTGTGAATCAGAGATGTAACGATGTAACAAAATCTGTTGCTAAAAACTCTTTTCATTTCTGGCATGTGTACTCTTATTGTCTACTGATCCTTAGAAATTGGTGTTAACAGACCCCTCTTGGTCATCACCAGTGGAAGAAATATGACAGGGTAAGAATTCTCAAGAATACATGATACAAACTTTATTCATCTCAGTTTTAAACATTACTTGTAACAATATAATTATTATAGTATAGTGGTCAAAGGTAAAAAACAAAACTTTAATTAAAAATGAATACACAAGATGAGGTACCTACATTTAAAATATTAAAATAATTGTATAAATTATCAATAATATTTCTTTTATAGTTTGTTAACAAAGGATAGCTTCTGGGGCATATCATTTTTTCTTGATATAAAGTCTAGAAGGATGTTTTTCACTTCCAGCATAATGATCCTGGAAAAAATAAAACAAACATAATTTACAGTTGTTATAAAACAAATTGAATTTTAATGGCTTGGATTTGACTGAGTTGATTTGACTTGAATGGCCTGTAGTGTGAGACTCCTGTGCTTATCAGACTACTCACTAAAACATCCTCTACTCTGTTGGACACAGACCTGGGATTGTTTGTCACATTACTTCATGTCAGGCCAACGTGTGACCTAAGCCGCGGAGAATACCCTGGACTAAATGTAACATACAGGTCCAATTGTCTTCACCCTCCATCATCATCGGAATGACCGAGTCTACCGACAACTGTCCTACATGTTATTGAGCCTCCAGGCGGGAACCTTGCCAACGATGGCAGCGGAAGGTGTGCTACGCGTTGTCGGGAGTGCCCAGGTAGATGCAATCGGGTGACACGGCTTTGCCCATCCTGAACAGATACGACCGGAAAAAACTGTGATCTGTCAGAAACTGGGTAAGGTAATAAATAATCCACTTCAAAATACTGTCAGTCAAGCCATGGTTGGACTTGCTGAATCAGTCTCCTGGTCCAGTGCCCCCGCGTCTCCTGTTCCCAGCTCTCCTGCCAGAGCTGGCAGGTGCATGTGGGTGTGCTCCTCCGTTTTTGCATGGTCCTCCCCACGTTGCTGATAAATCTCTTTCCTCTCCGCCGCCAAAAGTTTGACGGGGATTACTCCAGCAACCACCAAGATGGCAGGTTCAGACACACTGTTCGGTAGGCGGATGCTACCCTGAGTGCTGCCTGACGCTGCACTCTGGCGAGCCGCATCCTATCCGCCTCCTTATTGAGCGTGTATGCCCACACTTCCGCACCACAGGAGTACAGACTGAACTGCAGACATCAACCGCCTTTTGCGTCTGGAACCAGGACCTCCCACATTGGCCATTAACCGGCTAAGAGAAGAAAACACCTTAGCGGCCTTGTCTGACGTACGGAATATCTGGTCCCACCAGGTAAGCTTAGTGTCCACCATGACACCAAGATACTTTGCGGCACGAATGGTTTGGACTTCCACGTCCCCCACCCTCAAGGCAAAATGCTGTCAATCCGCTTTTTGGTCAGAATCACAATCTCAGTTTTGTTCAGAGCGTGTGAGACCGTGATCTGTCATCCATGCGTTTATAGTTCGCATGACTCGGTTTAATTTTAGCTGGGCCAGCTCAACAGTACGAGCAGCTCTTAAAGCAGCAATGTCACCCAACTAAAACAGTTTCCTCAGACATTTCAGACCTAAGGAGGCTGTCATAGGCAACGTTCCAGAGGTCCGGGCCGTGTATGGAACCTTGGGCAGCACCAGAAATGACACTCATCATTCGCAGGACTTCAGTGGTATCAACCGGAGGTAATCCTCTATAATGCGCATGAGGTATGCCGGGACATGGAAGGTGTTCACAAGAGCGTCCAGCACCATCTCACCAAATTAAATGCTTTTCGCTAGAGATGGGCCGATACCAAAAATTGTCGATACAGATACCACCAAAGTACTCTCAATACCTATCGATACCAATACCTACAAAAATAACAGCTGGAATAAAATAAAACATCATTGTTAATATGGACACATTTATTTTTGATCGTAAATAAGCATAATATCTTTGTTTATACATACTCATTAAAAGAAAACACTAATGCGTGTTGTGTTTGTAATAATTTAGACTAAGTTAGTAAAATTTGGTTTAGGTTTGTACCTTTAATTTGCTTACTATTTATTATGCTAAGTTAAGCCTAGATTAAATACTTATAGCAAGACAAATGATTAATCTGAAGAATTTCTTAACAATACAAATTTAATGAAATAAAAATAAGATATTACAATGATGAATGGGGTAAATGAACAGATAACAGATAAGTTAAGTTATAGGGTTGCCATCTTTGGTTTAGCCTAGCTCAGTAAAAACAGAACAATGAGTTTACAATTTAGTTTAATTACATAAATCTCAGGGAGGGGAACTCGGCTGGCTAAAAAGATCTTCAAATATTTAAATTTATGAAATAAACTATGTCAATTATTATGAAAAATGGGATAATTTTGATATTGCTCTTAGGTTTGGATAGGTAAATTAAATAAGTCCAACAATGAATAGACTAGGTGAAAATTTATTAAAGTTGAATTTAGTTCTCTTCTCAAATTGTTTTTCTGGGATTATTCTTGATGAAATAATGTAGTTTTTGAGTTCAAATAATTAGGTTCGATGATCAGAAAGTAAATAAAATAGGTCTATTAAGTTAAATTTCTTGAAGGTAGGCTAAGCCTATACAAAATGGAGAGTTCTCACCAGATCTTCAGTAATAGTGTCCAATTTATATAAATCTTGAGGTGGCAGTACAATTTTGAAATGAAAAAAATGTATATATAAAAACTAAACTGTTCTTCTGTTGTTAAATTAATGATAAGTTAAATAATTTTGATCACTTTGACTTTATAAATATTAGGGATTATACCCTCACTTGATTTAAGGTGTTGATGTTGCCATGTCCCAATAGAGAAGGAGGAAAATCTTTATTTTACACAGGATGATCAGAGTTCATTGTTGAAGCCAGCTGTCTTCTTTCTTCATCACTTGCACATGCACTAAATATTCAGGCTTTTGGATATTAATTTAATGTTGGGGTTTTAGAAATAATTTATACTATATTAATAATTTTGGATAAAAGTGTTATTGCAACTATGGACTTAATTGATTTTATTAACAATAATTGTTGAATATATATAGGCCTACAATATATTTTAAAATGTGATGATGGTTTCTGAGGGGTGATTAAAGGATAATATAATTTAAATTTACTATTATTTTTCTGACAATTTATTTAAATAGGCTATATGGCGAATTTTGGTACGATAAAAGAAGAATTATTATATAACTAAAGAATGAATGTAGTGAAAGGTCTAAAAATGACATGTAACATTGCAATTATCCCCTCAGAAATTTTTATCTGAGAACTCAATGAAAAATTTCGATAAAATGTGAAATGTCATGATGATACAGAAGTATGAAATAAAACATCTTAAAGTTAGAATGATAAACATTAAATGATTGATTATCTTGGAAGTTGACTTATATCTATAGGGAAAAACAAGTTTTTAAAAGAGAACAAAACATAAAAACATTCAAAAATTAAAACAAAACAAAAGATAATTACATTGTAGTAAATTGGGGAGTAAGGGTGATAGGTTTCTGAGCATAGAAAATAACATTTGTATCTTCTTGGGATTTGGGAGTTGCATAGATATGGGAATGATGGGGTACGCACTCGCGATTAGTGTCCGATATCACAGTTTATATGGGTATTCTTGGGAACGCACTCGCGATTATTGTCTATTCTGCATGCACGGTAACTGTATCTTCTGTATGTTTTGGTTTGTGGGATCTTGATGTGTCGGTTATATATTTTTTGTTGTGTAAAATGTGGCATAGTCCATAAATTGTTTAGTTCATATTCGTTCAATTGGAAAATTCCTGGCGTTTCAGAGAAAATATGTTTATATTTGAGAATCGGGTTACCTAACTTGGCTCGTTGTGTATCACTCAATAATTTATTATCTTTTAAAGATTCTTTAACTTTGGATTCAGTTATACTGTCCATCAATTGATTATTATTATTATTTGGTTGGTGCTCATAATGAAAATCCTTGTTATGTATATTTTTATTGTTATAACTGCCCTTAATATCGGGATCTGGCCTGTGGCTGTAATTATCAACAATGAAACAAGTGATTCCTTCAGTAAAAACTCGATCAAACTTCATTACAATATCTTGGTTATTTATATTCATTTTGATATTATTATTAACAAAGTTCACCTTCGCCTTCATGCTTTCTAAGCTATCACATCCTAAAATCACTGGTCTATAAAGATTTGGTACGAGCATAAACTGTAGATTGATGGTTTGTCCATTGATATTAATGGGAATGTATAAGATATGGGTGATACGTTTGGTTTTCGAGCCTGTAGCTGTACGTATTGTGGTGTTAGTTAGAGGTAACTGTTCGAATTTTCCCATAGAGTGAAGGTTCTCTTTAACAAAATTCTCGGAAATGCAACTTATATTAGCACCGCTATCAATTAATGTGTGTGTTGAACATTTGGATATCTGTATTGGAATTTCGGGACAATTGATTGAATATGTATTTTGTTCATTTTCTTGTTTATTATTTTCTTCTTCATTGTTCATTAAAAATTCTTGGTCACAATATATGTTATTTAAAATTACAATTTTTTCTATTTCTTTATTTAAAATTTGGTTAGTTTCTTCTTTATTGTTTGGCCGTCCGAGGTTTAAATGAGTTTTCGCTGCGAATTCTGCAGAAAGGTGAGACGTGTCCTCCTCACTGCAGCGGCCGTGAATTGCAGCGCTTAGAAGTTTGAAGTCCCCGCAGCCTGGTGATTTGGGGAATTGGGTATTGATAAGTTCTGTCGACTTTGTTGTTGGCCGAACATACTACACACTTGGTTTTGTTCTTGTGTGGGATAATTACGTGGTGGTGATCTATTTGGTTGATTTTGTTGTCCGCGTGGATAGTTGTTGGTGGGTTGATGGTATGGAGGTCTGTTCTCTTGACTTTGATATCTGTTCTGGCCCTGTTCCTGGTATCTGTTACTGTTATGGTGATTAGGTTGTTGGTGATATGGTGGACGATTGTTTTGGTGATGATTGGGACGGTAGGCGTTGTGATTGATGTTGTTGTCTCTTCTGCTATGTTGATTTTTGTACTGATTATTGTCTTGTTCTCTAGGAGGTTGAGGATTTGTGTTCCTGGTTCTTCGGTTAGGATCACGCAAGTCTTCACGTTCTAGCAGCGTAATAAATCCCTTGATGGTAGTGATGTTCTGTACAGCTCTTGCGTCATTAATCAGTTGGTCAAAACATTCAGACAAGATCAAAACAATTTCGTTTTCTGGTATGGGTGGGGTCATAGATTGAAGCGTTATGGCCCTTTCCATAAAAAAATCTGCTCTTGACAAACTGCCGTTTGATTTGTAGCGTTCCGTTTCAATTTTTCTCTTGATGTACTGCTGCACGTCACGGCTCCAATATTTCAGGCGGAATTCATTTGCAAAATTTTCCCAATTGTAGATGTCTTCCCTGATGAGCTGGAACCATCTCGCTGCATGATGTTCGAGGCTTACTTCGATAATTTCTCGGAGATTTTCAACCGCATCAGATGAATTTAGGTAGCGCTGTGCACTCCTGTCATAGTATCGTTTCAATTTCAATAAAAATTCATTAGGATTGTGACTTTTCCCATTAAATTTTGGTAATGTCCGGTTGGAAAGAATCGGATCACTGCTTGGACAGATAACATTTATGTTTCCATTGTGTGGTATTGTTGTTTGAAATTTTTGTTGTGAAATTTGGTTTACTGTGTCTGTTAATCGACTGATTTCATTTTGTTGCTGGTTGAGGGAATCAGTGTTCTGTTTGATTTGTGGAATAATTTTGTTTTCCAGGTCTAGTATAGATTCTTTCAATTTTTCATCATCTTCTTTTTTCGATATTAGTTTTTCATTTTGAATCTGTATTTTGAGGTTTTTAGCTTGTTCATCTAATTTATTTACAAAATAATTGGTTATTTGGGATGATTGATTTTTAAGGGCATTTTCAAAAGTTTGACCTTGACTTGTCACCCTTGTCTCAATTTCATGAATGAATTCTTGCCGGGTGCGCTGATTTTCAGTTTGGCATTTATGTTCAATATTTTGCATTTTTACTGCCGTGTTTTGATGTAATTTGATTGACTGATCTAATTTAATATTCATTTGAGATTGAGTTTCAAATAATTCCTCTATTTTTCCTTCGGTTACTTGAAAACGTTGATTGAACTTGTTTTCAAGTTGTTCGGTTAAATTTTCAATTTTTGAGTTCATTTCTTTCTGGGATTGTCCAATTCCTCTTATTTCTTCAAATAGTCCTGTAAGAAGGCAAGTAATGTCTGGGTTTGCCGTTTGAATTTGTTGCATAACTTTGGAATCGTCCTTTACGCCATTATCAACATCAGCTGTTAACGTTACTACGTTTTCATTACTCATTTGACGGTCTTTAAAAGATGAATGAAGCGGGTTGATTACACTTTGGGAAGGTTCTCGAGTGGTGCTGCTACTAGCGGCTACTTCAGTAACTACGACCTCTTTTTGAATGGATTTGGAGCCGGCGTTGTTGATTTCAAAATGGCTGCCGCCGTCGTCGTCTGGGTCGTCTGTAACTGTCACTTCGCCGTGTTCGTGTTGTGTCGTCATTGTGTGTAGATTATGCGTACTCGGTGGAATAAATGTGTTTTGCGTATCTTCTATGTCATGGAGGGTTTCTTGCGTAATATTTGATACCGGTGGAATGTTTGTGTTGTGTACAAATGCGTCAATGTCGCCTTCGTCCTCTGAACTATTGAATGCAATGTCGTGTAGGTTATCAGAGTTCATTGTGTTTGGGTATTTTCTAGGCCGTCGGAAATTATATCTATGCTCTGTCATTTATCATTGGGGACGCTTATTGCAGGGAGGATAACTTATTACTAACATAAAATGCTTATATTCAATATACTTAGATTAGGCTAGTTGCAATAACGAGATATTTGAAGACCTTTTGTAGCCAATACGTTGGACGCCATTAAAAGAAAACACTAATGCGTGTTGTGTTTGTAATAATTTAGACTAAGTTAGTAAAATTTGGTTTAGGTTTGTACCTTTAATTTGCTTACTATTTATTATGCTAAGTTAAGCCTAGATTAAATACTTATAGCAAGACAAATGATTAATCTGAAGAATTTCTTAACAATACAAATTTAATGAAATAAAAATAAGATATTACAATGATGAATGGGGTAAATGAACAGATAACAGATAAGTTAAGTTATAGGGTTGCCATCTTTGGTTTAGCCTAGCTCAGTAAAAACAGAACAATGAGTTTACAATTTAGTTTAATTACATAAATCTCAGGGAGGGGAACTCGGCTGGCTAAAAAGATCTTCAAATATTTAAATTTATGAAATAAACTATGTCAATTATTATGAAAAATGGGATAATTTTGATATTGCTCTTAGGTTTGGATAGGTAAATTAAATAAGTCCAACAATGAATAGACTAGGTGAAAATTTATTAAAGTTGAATTTAGTTCTCTTCTCAAATTGTTTTTCTGGGATTATTCTTGATGAAATAATGTAGTTTTTGAGTTCAAATAATTAGGTTCGATGATCAGAAAGTAAATAAAATAGGTCTATTAAGTTAAATTTCTTGAAGGTAGGCTAAGCCTATACAAAATGGAGAGTTCTCACCAGATCTTCAGTAATAGTGTCCAATTTATATAAATCTTGAGGTGGCAGTACAATTTTGAAATGAAAAAAATGTATATATAAAAACTAAACTGTTCTTCTGTTGTTAAATTAATGATAAGTTAAATAATTTTGATCACTTTGACTTTATAAATATTAGGGATTATACCCTCACTTGATTTAAGGTGTTGATGTTGCCATGTCCCAATAGAGAAGGAGGAAAATCTTTATTTTACACAGGATGATCAGAGTTCATTGTTGAAGCCAGCTGTCTTCTTTCTTCATCACTTGCACATGCACTAAATATTCAGGCTTTTGGATATTAATTTAATGTTGGGGTTTTAGAAATAATTTATACTATATTAATAATTTTGGATAAAAGTGTTATTGCAACTATGGACTTAATTGATTTTATTAACAATAATTGTTGAATATATATAGGCCTACAATATATTTTAAAATGTGATGATGGTTTCTGAGGGGTGATTAAAGGATAATATAATTTAAATTTACTATTATTTTTCTGACAATTTATTTAAATAGGCTATATGGCGAATTTTGGTACGATAAAAGAAGAATTATTATATAACTAAAGAATGAATGTAGTGAAAGGTCTAAAAATGACATGTAACATTGCATCATTTATGTACAGTATACATATCAGTGTGTTATGGATAATTATAATTTAAACAGACCCTATTTGAAACAGAACAAAAAAAACATTATTGGGAAACACAAAGAAAAACACAAACATTAATTAATGATAGCCTACAGTAATAATGATCATATATGTACATTTACAAAATCTTGAAAAAATTAGCAGAACCAGGGGTGAACCAGTCAACCGCACTAATAGTCTTATCCCTCGAGTCTATTGTGCGTTGTTGGAGCTGCTCGGGCAGCCGGTGACCTGGCCAGTGAGTCATCTTGCATCAGTGTCAGAGCTAGAAGTATGACTCACTGGCCAGATCACCGGCTGCCCGAGCAGCTCCAACAACGCACAATAGACTCAAGGGATAAGACATAAGACTATTAGTGCGGTTGACTGGTCCAACCCTGGTTCTGCCTCGCTCTGGCATGCATTTCAGTATAGGTACGGTACTCAGTTTATTTAATTTTCAAATTTTTTTTTAGAAATACTAACATTTGGACACGATGAGGATCCAAACGGTTTCGCTTCTTGTCACAAATTATGCCAGATGTCGAAAAGAGTCTTTCAGAGAATACTGTAGCTGGTGGAGCTGACAAAAATTTGTTGGCAACGTTCCCAAGCCTTGGAACGGACAACCGCTTCACCTTCCAAAAATTCCAGACGTTGCAGTTGTGTGGCTCCAAGGGTTCCAAAAAATACTGCATTACCTCATGTTCAACTGATCTCTGTGTCTCGGTGTTGACCTCCGTGTCTGCCATCAAGGCAGAGTAACGTTGCCACATCTTTTCTTGAGTTTTGTTACTTGATGTCTAAAAAAATAAGGGGAGGAAATTAGAATCATCATCAGCATATAAGGGTTTATTTATATTGTGTTAAAGTAAGAAAAATTTAACACAAATTTTGAATAGCCTATACATTTTTTATTTTTAACAAGTGTAAACTCTATCTGATTATAATGTGTTTGTTTTTATTATTCTTATGCAAATTTAAAATTAAAAGTTACCTGACATGAATAAGTTTTGATACCTACTTTTTATTTGTTCCTGGCTCTAAATATTTGTTTGGTGAGATACAAAACCGGTAAGTAGCTAAGCTAAAAAAAAATCATTATTATAGAATTACAGAGGAATTTGGAAAATTCTAAGCTGAAGGGACCACAAAAAACTTGTAATTATCCAAAAAATTTAAATTAACCAAGTTCATTTAACATTAAGGCCTAGTTCCAGGAGAACAATTTTAACCATCCAAGTTCGTGTAATTTAAAATTTAAGTTTATCTTAATTTGTTTTACAGTATTATGCATTGATAGAGATAGGTAGGCCTAAATTAAAAAAAGGTAGGCTAATAATCAAGTTAGCCTATCTTTGACTGGGAGGAAAAAATTCAACTTAAAAAATATTGTAGGCCTAAAAAAATCCAATTTTTATTAGGGCCTATAGGCCTAACAAAAGAAAAAAAACCAGTGAAATATTTTAGTTACCTGTGCTTGGAGATTGGCAGAACATCCATCGCTGGGTGAAAGAAGCTCAGTTTCTTCCAACAAATCCCTCTTCGCCTTCCTTAAATTGTCTGGTGAAATAAACACTGCACCCTTCAATCTGGGATCCAACAATGTTGCAATTGTATATTCCTTTACAGTCTCAACATCAGCATATCTAGTTTTAAGAGATTGCAACAGTTCTGTAGCGAATGTTTTTATTCCTGGTACCTGCATCAAGTTTTCAAGTTCTTTGACTGCACTGTTCACAATCGGTATCACTTCTGATATGGTAGTGAGCGAAGAAGTTGACTGGAAGGTGGCATCATCAAAAATCTTCATCACTTTCACAACATTAGCCATTAGCTCCCAATCAGGTGCAGTGATTTCAGTCGGTAGGTTTAAGTCTGGTGCTGCTAGAGATATCGCCCGTCGTTTTTCTATCATTCTATCCATCATGTGCTTGGTGGAATTCCAACGGGTAGGTTCATCTTGTACGAGTTTGTGTATCGGTAGGCCCAGTGTTGCTTGTGCCGCTCTCAGTGCTTTTGCAGAGTGCTTGAAATGCCCGACTGTTCTCCTACAAACCGCAGAAAGGTTTGCAATACTTCTCTGGCCTAATAGCCCATCTTTTATAACTAGTTGCATTGTATGGGCAAGGCAAAGTATTGCTTTAAAAGCTCCAGCATTGAGAGCTGCTACGATGTTCCTTCCGTTGTGGAACAACATGCAACTTATTTATTATGTTCCAATCAGTCAACACCTGGGTTTGAAACATACAGATTGCCTCGCCAGTGCGACTGATTTCCGGAAATGGAACAACTTCCAAACATATATGGTTCCATTTGTCTTCACTGTCAACAAAATGGCATGTTATCGACATGTAGTCATCGTTGGCTGTAGAGATCCACATATCAGCCGTTATACTGATCTGTTTGGCAGATTTCATGATATTTTGAACTTTTACTTTAGTCTCTTCATATAACTTGGGGATTGCAACAGTACTAAAATGCTTCCGTTTCGGTATCTCATATTGAGGTTCTATGTGGTTCAATGAGTTTCTGAAACCAACATCTTCAATCACAGAAGGAGAGCAAAAGCTGCTGCTAGTTGAAGTTGAACTTGCTTGACTTAAAGTGGGACTTACGATAGGCATATTTGTGGCAGATTCAATTTCATCAACATCAATAGACAGTGGGCTAAACTCATTTAAGTTTTGGTTTGGATTTGCAACATCCATGGGATGCACTTTCATCTTGGCCTAGGCCTATATTTTCTTCCCCAATTGATTTCTTGTTGATTTCTTCAATTTACTCTGGATGGTGAAGTTTCAGATGTTTAATGAGGTTAGAAGTCGTACGAGACTTACCCCCATGAGAAATATCTTTTTTGCACAGTTTACATTTTGCCACATCACTACTTTCACTAATAATATTAAAAAAGGTCCACACATCACTTTTACGCTTACTCATATTAAATAAAAAAAACTAAATCATTCAATAACTAAAATAAAAAACGATATTCAATTAGAAGTAGAACCAATGTGAAATAAATAACAAAAACATAACCATACAACTCAACATTCACTGTAACTGCAACACCACGATCGTGTATATAACAGGACTACTGCATCTCTAAAACGCTAACCGTGATTGGTTTATCGTCGTCCTCCGATTCAAAACCAGCCAATGAGAAAGGTTCTAATAAGTTAGGAAAGACACTAGCACTCGGTGCGACGTTCAACAGCAATCCAAATTTCAATGTCGCTAAAACATAGCACGTGATTGGTTGATTGTCGTCGCAGGGCAGTATGTGAGCCAATGAGATCGTGTCTATTAAAATCCCAATGACACTAGCGCTCGCAGTGGTGATCAACCACACCAAGTAGGCCTATCCACGTCGCTATAATATTACACGTGATTGGCCGAACATCGTCTCTGCATGAGAAACTAACCAATGAGGTCGTGTCTATCAAAGTGACAAGACCACTAGCGCTCGCAGTGGTGATCGACCAAACCAAGTATCCACGTCGCTATTACATTACACGTGATTGGCCTACACTAGTGCTCGCCGTGGACGAGCGCAAACAGCTAGGATTCGTAACGGCAATTTACCCGCTCTTAACTGACGTAATCCACACCGATACGTCAGTATCGGTATCGAACCTAAAACAGGCAAGTATCGAGTATCGACGATACCTCGATACTGCTGGTATCGAGAGTATTTTGGTATCGAGTATCGGCATCGGCCCACCTCTACTTTTCGCACATCGAGTGTAACAAGCAGCACAATCCAACGAGAGTAGTGATTAAAATACCATTTCCTCTGTAAAATTGATAAAACCTCTTGATGATTATTAACCAGGTTAATGCCTCTCCCCCAAAAAGTTACTTAACAAAGATGTAGTGTTGATGTCAAAGAACAGTTTAAAAGCGTTTTTAGAACATTATATGTGACGTGTGGTACGTAAACAATAACCACTCAATAATTTGTTATTGAATATTTGTAACCTTGATAAAAAGTCTACCTTGATAATGTGTGATGATAAGTCTTAAACGTAATAATCCTCTTCAGAGTTACTGAGGTTCTATTGTAGTTAAGGGTATACATGACTATAATAGCAATGATAATACAGTAAACCTCAGCAATTCGACAATTCGTGAAACCAAGAGGTTCTCGAATTGGGGGTTCTCAAGTTATCCAGAATATTGAAATTTTTAATGTGTTTTAGTATATGAATACATAATAGACTAATTTTTACATATATATATATAGCCTAATACAAAAAAAAAACTAATTGGCTTTACTTACATGAGTATTTATACACATTTGAGTAGGCTAAATAATGATCAAAAAAATTTTATAGGTACATATTTAATAATTAAAACCACATTTTCTGAAATAATTGCTTGAAAAGTCAAATGCACTAGTTAAAGAAAAGGCCAGATAGACATGTCACCTGTCGACTGTTGAGTTAGTGAGGTTTCACTATACTCGAATGTAACCTTTTACATGACTTATTTAGGAAAAGTTTCTGATAAAACTTTATGGATTCAATATTAAGTAGCCTATGTAAGTGTTTTTTTTTAATACACTGTTATTAGGTTTTTGCTACACACTCTTTTTATCTCTGTTGTCCAATGCACCAAACAAATAAAAAACTAACAAGATGCATTGTAAAAATCATATAAAAAAAATTATGTTGCATGAGTAGACCCTAAATTACATATTTCAGATGGGAGTATTTCATTTGGTCCAAAATCGTTTGGTCCAACAGTTGTAAACCAGTTTGTTTGGTCCAAAATCGTTTGGTCCAAAAGTACAGGCAAAACCAGAAGTACAATTTTGCCTTGTGGAGTAAACTTATGAAATAGACTGTACGTTTCACGGGGAGTATTTCATTTGGTCCAAAATCGTTTGGTCCGACAAATGTAAAACAGTTTGTTTGGTCCAACAAATGTAAAACAGTTCGTTTGGTCCAAAATCGTTTGGTCCAACAAATGTAAAACAGTTCGTTTGGTCCAAAATCGTTTGGTCCAACAGTATGAACTATTGCGTCACTCACATTGAAGGCGTATAAATAATCGCCGTCACGTCGTCAACCCAACCGCCTGCCTTCCGAGGCCTATATTTGTTGTTTTGTGTTATGTTTCTAAATAATTGGTATGTTTGCATTTACATACACGTACATATACATATATTTATTTATATATAATGTGCTTGTGTTCTGTTAACTTTTTATCCCCAGTCAATCTTAAAACAACGTGTTTTAATTCCATAGATTTGTGGATAAACATTGACCTTGCTTTGAGTTTGCATTTATTGTTAAACAGATGGTTTATTTAATTTATCTATATACTAGCTGTACCCGCCGGCTTTGCCCCGCTTAACTTCATAAGTATTCGCATGGCTCAATCACTTCCTGGTTGAAGTTCGTTCGCTACGCTCACTCACCTTCAGGTTGGAAATCGTTCGCTGCGCTCACTTGTTTTCAGGTTAGCTCGTTCGCTACGCTTACTCGCCTCCAGGTTGATGTTCGTTCGCTACGCTCACTCACCTTGTGGTTGCAAATTAGCTGTTGTCATAAATTTAAAAAAAGTCATCCCTTTAATTGTTTATAATACTTTGATAAAGGTTTTTATGTTTTAATATTTAACATTGGAGAATTTAAACGTTGTTCAGTGCACAGGTGTGCTGCGATTGGGGTTTAATACATTTGGACTTATTAAAAAGTAAAATAGTTTTCTGTGCTGCACTCTGTAGAAACACTGTGGCACTATTTCAAATCACGACTAATGCTAATACAGAATGTTGTGATTATTCAAACCTA